TCAAATCTACTTTGAAAGATTCGGATATTAATTTTATCTGATTAATTCGCATTGAAAGCCTTTGACAATTCCTAACCACTGATAATTCTGAACTCGTATCAAACTCGTCAAGTGTTTTAAGTATTGTATTTTAAAATATTCAATTGATAACATGAATAAATCGACGCTTCTGGCATAATTTCACAGCCCCGAAATTCCTCTATTGTATATATATATATTATGTATTACGGTCAGCTCGGTGTCCAACACCTGACTGACGGAACCTAAAAGTCAGCATGAGCCCCATTTACTTTCCATATGAGCGGTTCACTCCGGTCAATATTTCTCTGAATCGCCAGGTGATTCGAAGAGCAGTATTCTGACCAGATTTCTCATTCGGTTGTGGATATCGGGGATTTTCAACCTAGGGGAAATTTTGAACTTTTGGGTAGTTATGAGGAACTTTGTAGTCTAGTCTCAAAATAGTGGAAATTATATACTGAACAGATAAAGAAGCGTTGTATTTTTAGATTAGAGGCCAGTTTATGACATTCAACTAATAATTTCGGTTGTGTTCGAATTAAGAGTGGGGAACTGTCAGGTGGCCGTGGGAGCAAGTTGTAAGTGATGCTGGGGTAAATCGAGGTGTACGTTCAACACGTAACAGAGTTCTGTATAAAAACAAAACTCCTGAGAATTCAATTGGTGTGAAGACAGCGAGCTCACGGCACGTCTAAACCCCCAACAACGTGAACAAGCCATCGGACGATTAAATGCCGGACAAGGTCCTCAAGTTAACTGTAGTATACGACCCATTGAGAGACTTCGGATTAATTATAACACCACCAACAGGACTGATAACACCAAAAAAGATCGCTATATCATGCGGCAACATCTGCATGACAGATACACCACAGCAGCACAGACAGCTCGTCATACCATTGGCCACCATCAGCGACCCATCAGTTCCAATACCGTTCGAAATCGAATCGCCTTCTAGATCCTGTCTTGTCGCCACCCATACAGGAGTCCGGTGCTCACTACCCATCATCGTCAGCATTGGCGGCATCAGCAGTGGAGGATTCACGTGTTCTCAGAGACTCGGTACTGCATTTCCACCGCGGATGGCAAGGTGTGGCGAAGAAGTGTGCGGTTGAAAGAGACCAGATCCTACCGCTTCCAAGAAATGCAGCAGAACTCAATCCAGCTTTCCTAAGAGTCTTGGCGCAGATTCCAATGGCGTCTGTAAATCGTTTGTGCCTCTCCATATACAGAAGATGCCAGGCCGTTATCAACGCACAAGGTGGACACACCAGATACTGACTTTCAACTCCATCTGTGAGGATCACGTGATCATAGCAATAACTTGAACGACACTCAAAACAATCCTTTGTGCCAAATATTGTTGTTTTCTGACAATTATCTATTGTTTTATTGAAATTTGAATAAACAATTCAGTATTTCTGTTCTTTGCGACGTTTCTTTATCCGTTCAGTATAATTTAAATCTATAATTTAGTCAGGCTATATTCTCCAGATTGCTGGAAAAACTTTGAGAAAATCACGAAATAGTAAGGATTCATAGAGGGAAGGGGGTAACGCATTCGATCAGGGATCCTGAACCTGAAAGAAAAAAATTAAAAACCTCTCGTATAATGTATTTGCTGTCTACTACACTAAAGACCGGTTAGATTTATCTCCCTTGACTTGAATATTAAATTTAAACAGAAGTATGCTTTGCAGAACATAAAATGTTTTATTTTTTTTTCTGCATCAAATAGCCTTTCTGGACATATTTCCACTTGAGAAATTCAAAACGGCCGCTATCCTCGATACTATATTTTTTTCATAACTTTGCCTCTAAGGCACCCGTAGTAATTTAGTAATTTTGGTGTCAAAATTTTAAAGTTGGACAATATTAGCGACATTATCGTGATATCAGACGTAAAAAAGAATATAGGCCTATCATCGTGAGATTTTTGTACCGAGCTAGGTTAAACGTTAACCAACCTCATCTACTTATTCTTAAATTCAGTTCTTAATTTTACGCTGATCAGTTTTGGAAACAATTTCGAGATTATATTTCATAAATGGGCCAAAATGACCGTTTAGAAAATATTTATAAAATAGAAGTGTGCATGATGTGTTCTTTACATGTTACAGCACCTTTATATCATACTCTTGCATTTTTGTAAACGCTGTAGTTTGATAAGGGAATGATATCACAATAAATTATATACATTACAACGGAAATACAACACTAGATATATTTGGTTTTTTGATAGACATAAACATAATGTTTCTGATTGAGAATAACACAACCTAATCAGCCTCGTGGCCAAATTGCTGTGCTTACTTTGCCCGTCAACATCAAAATTTGACAAAGTCTTAGATCTTGGGCCTCAATAAAACAATAAGTGAGATAATGATGAAATGAAAGGTTATTGTCATGAAAATTAAATTAAATCAAAATAAAATATACATTACTCAAAAAGAATCATAAATTGTATCCCAAAAGATAGTGGACCACAGCCATATACGCCCACCGCGGCATGCGGATGGTAAATATTAAAGATTTTGGGGCAAGGGCAATAACTCTGCTTCTTACGGTTGAAAATAGCTCAAATTTGAACTTGATCTTCGTTTTATGAATATGTCTACACATACCGAATTTCATTTGATTCCATCAAAAAATCTAGTTTTTAGAGCGTTTACAAGCAAATGATGTTGATAAAAGCACTTACTGTATAGAGGTTAAAGGGCGATAACTCATCAAAACTGACGTAAGAGGCCTAAATCTTGAAAAAGCCTTAAATTCAATCAGAAGTAAACTAAACTTTCTTAAACCTTTCGATTTAGGTCCAATAACATCCATTTTAAGTTTCATCAAAATCGATTGAAAACTAAGAGAGTAATAGCATATTCAAGATTTTGGGGCAAGGGCAATTACTCTGCTTCTAACGGTCGAAAATAGCTCAAATTCGAACTTGATCTTCGTTTTATGAATATGTATACACATATCGAATTTCATTTGATTCCATCAAAAACTTTAGTTTTTAGAGCGTTTACAAGCAAATGTTGACGGACGGACGGACAGGGGTGCCGACAATATACGTCCACATAGAGAGATGTGGGCGTATAAAAATTGTCTTCACACATTCTAGTGTTGATAAAGTTTGTCATTATTGGTTTCCAAAAGAAATATTAGTAATCTTGGTAAAATGTCCAACAACATATTCTGTTTCTTCCACTCCAACAACATTTCTTACCACCAGTCCAACAACGTCTCCACTACCAGTCCTAAAACATACCTTCTACGAGTCAAACAACATCACCCACTACCAGTCCAACAATATTGCCTACTACCAGTCCTGTAACATCCCCTACCATTAGTCCGCCACTATCTCCATCTACCAGTCCAACGACAATCCCTACTACCAGTCAGTCGGCATCTCTGCTAAAAGTTTATAACCACTTCAACTAATTCCTGTCCAACCATATCCCTCACAATCAGACATGTAATATCCCCTACCACAATATTTCCATATACCAGTCCAACAACTTCCCCTTACTACCAGTACACCAACTTACCATCGACTACCAGTCCTACAACATCCCCAAAAACCCAACAAACAACCTCCCCCACTAACAGTCCTACAACCCCCTCTACTACCAATCCAACAACATTCACTACTACCAGTCCGACCATTTCGCTTACTACAAGTCCATCAACATCGTCTACTACTAGTTAGTCCTACAACATTATCTTACCTCAAGTCGAACTGGTAGTAGTCGTTGCAGGAGTAGTATTTATGGGGTTTGTTGGACTTGTAGTAGGAGATGCTGGTAAACTGGTAGTAGGGGGTGTTATTGGATTTGATTAAGGTGATGTTGTAGGTATATGTTGTTGGGCTGCTACTATGCGATGTTTTAGGACTATTATTAGGAGAGGTTGTTGTACCGCTAGTGAAAGTTGTTGGACGGGTAATAGGGGATGTTGTAGGACTGGTTTTGAGGAATGTTTTTGGACTTGTAGAGAGGGGAAGTTGTTGGACTAGTAATATGGGATGTTATATGATTGGTAGTAGATGTTGATCTGGTGGTATGATATGTTGAGGGACTGGTTGTGGACTGAAAGTAGGTGATGTTTAAGGACTGGTAGTGGGAGATTTACAAGTCCTGATAAACTTAGTAATGTTCAGTTAGTTTTAAGAATGATCAAAAAACGTACCGTAGCCTATTAATTGTCTTTTGGATCCATGGGACATTAAACCGAGGCCCCATGTGCTAGGCTACTGATCGTGTACGTTCAAGATCCTTCACAGTTGGAAATCGAAAAAGAGGCTAATGCCCCTGTCCTGGCAAAATATCCCTCATTGCATGGCGTTGTCCGTCTTCGTGAGCCCACATGGTACAGAAAAGTTGGACAAATAGGTTTCATCTCATTTCATTCATTCATAAGGTTTGATATTGTAATGATAATATTTTTATTCTATTTATTCTGCTCAGATGAACGATAGGTACATAAAAGAAATTTACCGTTTGTTATTATTTGCGTTTAATAAAAACCATTATTTACTTTATGCTTCAGGTATGTTTAATTCTTATCGTTTCTGCTTGATTTTATCGTTTATATTCGGTTGGATTGCAATCTTTACTCTGCCTTTAGGTTATTTTATGTTACACGTTGTACAGTGCCCCAAGAAAAAATGATAATAAAAAAAACATCGTCTGCTAATTTCCCTGACATCACACCTTTATAATACCTGTATTTTAAAATTCATACTTCAGAAAATTTGAATACGAAACGAAAAAAAAGAATAAATTTTCCTAGAACGATTGTCATCAAAAATGAATCTTCAAATTTTATTGAATAACAACTTTCGTCAATATGGTGTAATGATAAAGCGAATAATGTTATGAAATGATAATGTAATTTGAATTTTAAAATATTTCGTTTCGTGAATTATCACCTACGTGGTAATTATTTTGACCTACTTTCTACGTCACACATTATGGCAAGTTAAGATAGAAAACCGGTGACAAGCTCTTGTTATTTTCATTTCTTCCGTCCTACAAACAAGTGCCTTGAACATTTCATCATATAGAACAATAAGATGAGGATAACTTTTCGACGACGAAACAAATTTTGGACATATCTCACATTGTCAACGTTTTTATTTGGTTGTTATTTTTTATACAAGAATTGGTCTGACTTGTCAAGTTGGAAAACAAAAGATGATGTCTTGTCCTTGAGGAAAAGAAGATTCTTAGAGTATCAGAAAAATGAAGGATCTCGTTCAGGACCAGGGGAATATGGAGAGCCAGTGCGACTTGAAGGAGAAGAAAAGAAAAGAGCTGATGCTTTGATGCCTAAAGAAGCCTTCAACATTGTTGCAAGTGACAAGATAGCCCTCGATCGGGCAGTAAGAGATGTTAGAGATCCTAAGTGAGTAGATACAGATCAAGTTCAGTTGAAAATTTCTAAATTTATAATGATCTTAATATGAATTAAGAATATATTGCGTGGGGGTTGGGCCCCAGCAAAACCTTCTTCAGTTAGGAAAAGATTTAATCATCTACAGTACCGGTACCTTTGTACAAAATCAAAAAGATATAGATTTTGATACGTTTTTGTCTCCTCAAAGTTGTCAGAATTTTGTTCTCTGGGCTTTTAAAATCTGAGCCCCAGCACCAATTCATTCCTGGCGACCGGGCTGCTGTGACCACTCTTTTGTTAGATTAATAAATCTTAAATCCTGTACTAGTAGCCTGATAGGAAAAGGCCTATTATGATGAACAGTTGCCAATTCTATCAGGAGTGGTATAGAAAATTAAATTGAAACTATTTGTGTCCTAACTTTTGTTTCATATTCTATTTATAAACAAAAACTGCATTACTTAATTACTGGTACCTTATTACAGCTTTTTACCCATATCAGTAATATTATATTTTTCTTTTAGATGTAAAGCAATCACATATCCAAAAGTTTTGCCTAAAGCCAGTGTGGTTATAATTTTTCATAATGAAGCCTGGTCTCCATTGTTACGTACAGTACATAGTGTTATAAATAGATCTCCACCAGAATATTTAGAAGAAGTGATATTACTGGATGATTTTAGTGATAGGCGTAAGTACACCAAAGGCGATTTATGGTGGCTGGTTCGCCATTTCTTTGACCAATTGTATTTTAGTCTCTAAAATTGGCATTTTTCGGCTAAGCTAATGAGTATTAGTGTTTACAGTTCACTGTTAACATCTTAAAGTTCAAATCGATGTGTGTCCATAATTATGAAAGTCAAAAAATGTCATATTGGACATATAAGCTTATATAGAAAAGACATACTGAAATAAAAGGGTAATTCCTAGTTTGAGCCATTTTTTATATGCCCACATTATAATGTGGACGTATATTGTCGTCACCTATGTCCGTTATTGAGTTACTGGTTACTGCCCTTGACTTATAAAAAACGCGTCAAAATTTGGTTGTGAACACAATAGAGACTACATTTTTTATCCAATTTCAATGAAATTTGGTGTGAATATTTATAATGATGAGATCTTGGACAAGTTCGAATTTGGCTATCTTTCGATGAACGGTTTTTGAGTTATTGCCCTTGACTTATGAAAAACGCGTCAAAATTTGTTTGTGAACACAATAGAGACTACAGTTTTCATCCAATTTCAATGAAGTTTGGTGTGAATATATATAATGATGAGATCTTGGACAAGTTCGAATTTGGCTATCTTTCGATGAATGGTTATTGAGTTATTGCCCTTGATTTATGAAAAATGTGTCAAAATTTGTTTGTGAACACAATAGACTACAGTTTTCGTCCGATTTAAATGAAATTTGGTATGATCATTTATAATGATAATTTGACAATTTTTCGATCAACGGAATTTGAGTTATTTCCCATGACTCAGTAAAAATGCATCAAAATTTGTTGGCGATAGAGGTGACAGTTATGTCAGAATTTTATTAAATAATGTGTCTTTGTTTAAATTAACAATATCTTGCACAAATTAGATTTTTGGTATGATTTGATACAGATAGGTGACTGCCCTTGATATACTGAAAATGGATCAGGAAAGTGGGCGTATCTTGCTAGGCAACCACTTGTTAAGGAATAATATGATTTATTTTAGGACTGCAACGATTCAATAAGAAGGAAAGAATCACGTTTCATCAGTGAATGGTTGCAGCCCTAATTTTTGTTAGTTTCTAGCACTTTAACTACTATTTACATACATTCAAGACTCAAATCAAACACCTGAAATGTCTAATCTGTCCCTTTAAATATTAGTTATTATGGGTACCATATTTCTGTTGATGTGAATAAATGTAAGATCTATCCCTGGTTTATGAACATTGTTTGCGCCGCCATTTGGCATTTACCCATCATGTTATAATTCAACAATATAATTTTATAGCTGAACTGGGTATTAAACTAGAAAAGTATGTTGCTGAAACATGGTCAGATGGTGTTGTTAAAATAGTTCGTACTAGTAAACGATGTGGATTAATTAGAGCTAGAATTGAAGGTGCTAAACCAGCAACTGGAGATGTTTTAATATTCTTAGATTCTCATTGTGAAGCAGGTCCTGGCTGGTAAGTACTTGATAATACATGTATATGAAAAACATGTGATAGGTTACTCCAATTAAAGGCAGAAAAGCAATAGCTTAGTCCCACTGAATACTCTTGGCAACAGGTTGCCCAAATAGTGATAAGCGTGTATAGGAAATCCTTGGCTTTTTTCTGAATATTTGGTGACAGTGAATACAATAATCAATATCTTATTGATGTTTTATCATGGTAATATTAATACATATTGAATGATAATATACTATACCTCTATCTATGTCAGCTGGCGAATTGTTGAAGAAATATTAACATCTTGACTTGGATAGATATTTACTTTTAGAGAAAGCAAACATGAATTTTCTTCTCTAAAAATGATCATATTAACAAATATATGTTTATGTGTGAATTAAATTCAAATGAAATGAATGGATTTTTACATCCTACTTTTCTGCACCATGTGGGGCGAATTTAATTCAAGAAAAGAGTTAAGTAGTAAGAGATCAGTTTAGCGAAAAAGTTGCAAGGGCAATTAATAAGATAGTATGAAATTGCCTTCAACAAAAATCTGATAATACTAGAAGGTTTGATTAACATGAACACTAAGTTTTGACACTTTATCATTAAGGCTGTATATATTAGAATATAATATCTGTCTTAACATGATTGTTTTATTGGTCACAGTTTGTTAACTTTTTATATTCTAATAATGCCTTATTACCATCTATTTTTACTAATATGTTAAGTATTTGACAGGCTAGAACCACTGTTGTCTCGAATAGCAGAAGATCGTCGCAATGTTCTTTGTCCAGAAATTGACCTTCTAGATAAAGAAACCTTGCAATATGGAGGCACTGGTAGCTTCTCAGTAGGAGGTTTTTGGTGGAGCCTTCATTTCTCGTGGAGACCCATTCCTCAACGTGAGAAGGAGCGTAGAAAATCTTCTATAGATCCTATTAGGTAATAGTGCTGTGACCAGTTGGAAGTGAACATTCACAAATGCACTTTCTACTGTTAACCTTTCAAAATCCCTTCTATGCTTCTGTTTGGCTGCCTTGATTTTGAGGAGATGTTATGGTTTTTTATTCTCTTGATTAACTGAACAAAGAGCATAATGTTAAACATGTTTGTTTGATTGGCCAAGTTGGATTAAAGTTATTAATATACAGAGTCTGTGTTCTGTAAGTTTAAAAACAATTCAAAATTAAATGATGATAACATTGAATAGACCTACTATAAAATTGTTGATAGGTGATATAACTAGGGAATATACTTAAACATAAAACTAAAGTAAAATAATTAAGTTAAAACATCAAAAATAGATAAATATCTAGAGCTGAAATTCAATAATATTGAATGTTATATATATTTATTCTGAAAAGTGTTAAACGTTTAGCATATAATTAGACATATTCTGTGCACAAGCTGTAAACCACCTACATGTAAGTCATGTGGCATTTTTCCCACATTGTTGACAGATGTTGTTGTATTTACGAACTACTTTTTATATTTCTAACTATTAAGATTTAATTTGAAAGATGTAACTCATTTCATATAAGTTGCAGAATAATTATCTTGTACACAGACAGGTGTTATTTAAAAATCTTGATGGATATTTTTCTTCTTACCTGACCCCATATAGGATAGAACCACTGCTCTACAGAATTTATCAAGATAGAAGAAATGTCCTTTGTCCTATTATTACTAATATAATGGACACAACCCTTGAATATTCCCCCTATCAGGATTACCATGTTGGAGGTTTCACATGGAGTCTTCATTTTACATGGCGCCCTGTCCCTGCAGCGGACAAAATATCTCGTAAACATACAGACCCAGTCAAGTAAGTCTTAGTGGGAGAAAAACAATGATTCTGTTGTTGTCGATATGTTTTGGACTTGATGTTGTTGGTGAGGGTAACGATTTCAATTAACAAATAAAGTACTGAAACTTGTTCTACTAATTGGGTGCAAGAACTTTCTACTCTTCAATTTTTAACTAAAATTTAATTGTTGTGAAAATAATGAACATTAAGTCTTTTTCAGTGTATTGTATAGACATATGTTCTTGCTGTTCAACATGATTTACATGCCTTTAAATGATGATAGATATTTTGCCTGAATAACAGATATTAGACTGTTTATTTACTTGAATAGAAGATATATTATCATCATTACTGTCAGATATCAACAGATGTTATGTATTATTAATTTTTAGCATACAGGTGTCTAGTTCGAAACAAAAATTGTATTGAAATAAGGTTTATGGACAATCAGTTATATGATCTGGTAGTGATGTTGGAAATGCCTTATGGCACTCTGTTATTGTGTTTGTCAGTATGTCTTCATTTTGATATAGTTTCCCCTTAGTTTATGGTCTTCTTTCTTAATCTAAAATCTAGTCAAGATTTGAATTGGATTCCTGCTTAAATCATAAATTCTTCTATCTGGTTGAGCTGGTTGAGTTAAGACAGTTTCTGAATAAATTAAAACATGTTTATTATTTAGCTTATAAATATTCTTGTAAGATTTTGTAAGATTTGGAGGAAATTTGGTTAAATTAGTAATGACCAGATAAGGTAAAAATCTGAAGAAAGTTCTGATCGAAATGTATGACAATAGGTTGAATATTTCATGGTTGTGTGTTGTTGCCATTTTGCCATAATATGTCTCAAACAAAGCTGCTAGTGGGTGTTTGTTACTTTCCCTGGCAAACTATCTTTCGATATTTTCATAAATAGGATTGAACCCTTACTGTGGCGTATACAACAAGATCGCCGTCATGTCTTGTGTCCAATTGTTGATGACATCTCAGATACAACCTTGGAGTTCTCTAAAAATGGAGGATATAGTGTTGGTGGTTTTACATGGAGTTTACATTTCACATGGCGAACTGTTCCAAAGGAAGATGTTGAAAGTCGAAAATATACAGATCCAGTTCGGTATGATTTGCATGGAAAAAATCATTTTTGTTGCATTGACACTTATAGACATATACTGAGCAAAGTTTAGTTATATAGAAAAGCAACATCATAATGTTTAAACTTGGTAGTAATATAAGCCTGAAAGATTTTTCAAATTATTGCTTGCACCTTCTTTTCTTTATTGCATGGGAAAAACATTGTTTAGTTGTTTCTATTATTTTACAGTTTTTTGGTTTTTGTTTGATTTGATACATATGTGCCATTGTAACCTGAAAGATAATATTTCTCAATCTCAATTTAACTCAATTTCTAGCTGTTTGATAAATTTGAATAGATTCTAGGAATGACATTCAGGCAATAGATCATTAATTAACTTTAAGCGTAATGTGTCTTGATTAACAACTAACATAACATTATGCTCTTTGTTCTTTGAATGTATTATTCTGGGATTTTAATAGTTATCATAATCTTACAGTGAATACTATACCTAATTCTATATGCTGTGATTGACTGGTACACCGTATCTTATCCAACTTTTTGAGAGAAAATTTGAAAAAATCATTTGGTCATTTAATAAATTCAATTTGAAATTATAAAACTGGAAATAATGTTACTAATTTTTTAATTACAAACAATAAATAAATACAGTTATCTAGAATTAGGCTTGGTGTTATGATATGGATATGAAACTAAGTTCAGTTTGTACATACAGGTCTTGTAAAAGTCCTAGTGTGTTTTCTGTTGTCACGTGTTGCATTTTATTAACCATTTTCCAAAGCACCTTTTCCTCCTGACACTAACAAATAGTGGGAAGTGTTGTCTAATTTATATGTTTAGAAATTATAGTCTGAAACTTCTGATTTATTAGCATAGAAATTGGATATTTTCTTTGTAGCTTTATGTTTATATGCAACTTGTAGTACCGGTAACTCTTAATATGCACTGATATATTTGTTTTTGATTAATGTAGATATTTACATAATGAGCAACATCTAAAACATACTTTAATATTTATAACCTTTTTAATATTTATAATTCTTTATTTATGATTATATGAAAAACATTTATTTCCTTTAATGAATTTCTGATTAATTTTACATCAAGATCAAATATGTATATCAATGGTAAAGAGAAGTGCAAATAAATTGGACCATTTCATTTGTAGATCGCCAACAATGGCCGGCGGATTATTTGCCATCAATCGAGAATATTTCTGGGAAATTGGTTCTTATGATCCAGGAATGGATGTTTGGGGTGGTGAAAATCTGGAAATTTCATTCAGGGTAGGTGCTAGATAGAAAATTTATGCTCTGAAGAAACAATATGGCTGTTTCGTGCTTGCTAGCTTGGAAATTTAGGAGTTTTATCTAGGTAATGATGAATGCTGATTGTTGTGTGACTGCCCTCAACTGGACAAGAAAGTGTAGTTTTGAATCTCAATACGTAACTATAAATATATAAATGTTTCATTTTGCCAATTATTGTTTTTAGGCATGGATGTGTGGAGGAAGGTTAGAGTTTATACCATGTTCACGAGTTGGTCATATCTTTAGATCTAGTCATCCTTATACATTCCCTGGTACATATAAAACATCTTTTATTTTCATTTCTATGTTTTTAAAGGTTCCATTTGCAATTTTATATTCATGTCATATTGACAGTATATGACACTTTGTTACCCTTGATTCTTAACTCTATTTGGTCATGAATTTTGATTTCTTTATACATGTACAGTATATCACATCATTTCCATTTATTATTCCTATATTGTTCACATTATCTCCATTTTAATTCATTATATCTTTAGTACCATTTTCCATTTCTCTTAGTACTAGGGCTGGGTAAAATGATCGAAATAATCATTTAACGTCGCTAGGAATTTATGATTAAAAAGTAGTAAACTCTTCCACATTGTTTCCCTTTTACAAATAACTTACTCACAATAATTAACGTATCAAAACAAGAATATTCTTCTATGACGCAAAAATAACTTATGAAATTAAAAATTATGGCCTGTTTTTAATTTAGTATTTACATTTAAAATATTGTAATTATTAATCGATTATTGATAGGTAGTCTGTCGTTGATAATTGATCTCAATTTGGTAATCAATACCCAGTCCTACTTATTACACAATATTTTTATTGATATCATTCTGTATTTGTAGGTAATAAAGATACACATGGTATTAACTCTATGAGATTAGCTGAAGTATGGATGGATGAGTATAAAAGATTATTTTACACTCACAGAAAAGATTTATTAGTAAGTCATTTACTCTGACTGGATTTGCCCCTCATAACAACCTCATAATATGCATTATACCATTAGATGTAATAACTTTGGGTTTTTTTTCCATTTGACAGTGTTCTATAGTATTATCAGGACAGATGGCATCGTCCAATAGTGCTCTGAAGGTAATTTGCCATTTGGGGGTCAACCCATTATCTGTTCTTCAACTGATATCTTTGTGAGTATTATATCTTTTTTCATTTCTTGCAGGGTAAATATCCTGGTGATGTATCAGAAAGAAAAGCATTAAGAGAAAAATTACATTGTAAAAGTTTTAAATGGTATTTGGATAATGTCTACCCTGAAAAATTTATTCCTGATGAAAACGTTCATGCTTGGGGCATGGTGAGTATCCATATATAGCCACTTCAAATAAAGACATGACTAAATATACTTGAACATAGACACAACCAATCCAGCTTAATTGTGAGGTGGAACAACAAATTGTGTACTTATTAGACCAGTTTTATATGTCAACTTCAGAACTTCTTATTGTTGAAAATAACTTGTGTGCTTTAAAAATTGAAAATTGTTGCATTGCATTTTTATTTTATTTGCTAGAAAACTTCTTTAATTTTATGTAAGAGGTGGTGTAACTTTTTGTAGTTAGTGTCCTTATTGAATATATGTCACTTTCAGATGAGAAATCCTAGCAGCAACATTTGTCTTGATACTTTACAAAGAGATGAAAAAGCAATATTTGAAATGGGACTGTTCCATTGTCAAAATGGTGTTAGTGCAAATCAGGTAATAATTTCAATATTCATGTCAATTAATTATTTCTAGTGAACTTTAACATATTATATCAATATAAGCAAGTTTTAATTAGCTAGCAATGTCTTTTGCTTTTTTTTGTTCTCAAATTGGTCCGGACGTAAAACTCCATTCATTTCATTTCATTTATATACGCCCACATGAAATGGGGGGCGTATATTGCCGTCACCCATGTCCGTCTGTCACAATTGCTTGTAAACACTCTACAAGACACAATTCTTGACAGATTTTGACAAACTTGGTATGAGTGTTCGTAATCACCCAAGGATGAACCCTATTGAAAATCAGAAGAATCGAAAATATTAAGTATAAGTTATTGCCCTTGTTCTTGAAAGCGCGTTCAATTTTTAGCTCGTAAACAATCTAGAAGGGACAATTCTTGACAGATTTTAACAAAACTTGACATGAGTGTTTGTAATCACCCAAGGATGAACCCTATTGAAAATCAGAAGAATCAAAAAATATTTAGTATGAGTTTTTGCCCTTGTTTTTGAAAACGCATTCTATTTTTAGCTCGTAAAGACTGTAGAAGGCACAATTCTTGACGGATTTTGACGAAATTTGGTGTGAGTGTTTGTTATCACCCAAGGATAAACCCTATTGAAAATCAGAAAAATCAAAAAAAAATTAGTATGAGTTATTGCCCTTGCTCTTGAAAACGCGTTCAATTTTTAGCTCTTAGACACTAAAAAGCATAATTCTTGTTGGATTTTGACAAAACTTGGTTTTATTATTCAGTCCTGTGCTGAGGATTTAATATTTGCCTTCTAGAGTTTTCACGAGCTAAAAATTGATCACATTTTCAAGAACAAGGGCAATAACTCATACTCAATATTATTCAGTATCGCCCTAAAGAGTTCAAAAGAAGTGTATGACAGAAGGTTGGATATTTCATACTGGTGATTGTTACTGTACTGCCAAATATTTTTTTTCAAAATCAAAGCTGCCAGTGGGCGTATATTACCTTGCCTGGCAAGCTATCTTTTCAATTTGGTCCATTAGGTTAGGTATGTATTTGGGTGTTATTTGTTAATTATTTTCTGCTATTTTCAGATATTTTCCTTTAGTATAGAGAATGAAATAAGACGTGAAGAGGGTTGTTTAACAACTCAAGGTGAAAACAACAGTGTTGTGAAATTAGAACCATGTAATAGACAGAAAGCAACTCAGAAATGGAAACATGATAAGGTAGGCTAAAATTTGGAATGTACAGTACTAGTAAGCTAGTATCTATGTGGTAGATTGTTTATCTGAGTAAAACCTACATCTTGCCCCAACCCTGTGAAAACTAGCCTGATTATTCCACAACAAACTTTGGTTTCAATTTGTACACATCATATATTATACAGCATTAGCAACAATAACTGCCTTATTAAAAGCTATAGCTATAGTGACAGTCTGTCTAATTTTGATTTCAATCCCTATATAAATTCTAGGGATTAATATGTTTTGGTTGAAGAACAATAGAGCAGTAATTTCAGATTAAACTTGACAATCAACAAAGAGAACACCCCTTCTTTCTAATTGACTTTATACGCTAAGTATTTATAAACTATGAAGTAGCTTGAATGTGTGTCATTTAATGTATTATAGGAATCAGGAGCAGTGGTACATGAAAGTTCTGGCAAGTGTTTAGATAAGTCAGATATCTCTAGTGGTAAAACTGTTATAGTTAAAGACTGTAAAAAAGGAGAAGACTCTCAAAGATGGGTATTTGAGCATTATTTAGATTAAAATAATTCATCTACTGCTGCATTCCAGAAAAAAAACTTTTTTGTTGGTGACAACATCAGTGCAATTTGGATCAAAAACATCGTCATTTTGAATATTTTTTCATTAAACATTGAAGTTTTTCATCTATCACCTGACATAGTTTCACAAAAACTCCTGAGAAGCCATTAGAGTAACAATAAATGACAAAATTCCAGGTTGTATCAAAATGTTTCTTAACATCAAAGTTTTTGTGAGTTTTTTTTGTTAGCTCCTGATCTTAGCTACTCACTTTAATTAGAGATGCTTCTATAGCCGAGCTTTGTGAAATCCAATTAGTCAATTCTGTGGTTTTAATTGGTTTTACTCTAAAAATTATTAATAAAGAGAAAACTAGGTTGTTACAGCAAGGGTTAGGTTAACAGACAAGTACTTCTCTAGTGATATTAAGATATTTGTTTCCATTAAATTAAGAAATACTGAATATCTTTGTGTGAGAAAAGCTGCTGATTGAAAGATGGTCATGTCATCTAACTATATGTAATAAAGTTTACATTACATCAAGAAAATATTTTTATGTGGTCAAAAATAGAGGATTATAATAGAACAAAGATAATTGTATACAACCAGTGACAATTAAAAAGATTAATGTGATCAGTTCACCTAATATTTAGAAGGTTAAGTACAGGTAGATAGTAACAAGCTCAATTAAGCCTCCTAGCTCTATATTGTTTTTACTATCAATTGTACCCAAAATAAAGTGGACTCCTCATGGTTTTAATTAGATGTGCACAAATATCTTTGCTGAACCATAATTTGTTATATTGCTGGGTAGTTACTGTTGCAATTGTTATCTACAAACTAAATCTATTTATTGAATCTTATATCGATATTTGTTATATTTATGAGTATTACTTAGTGTTCAGTTTTCAGTGCAGTTATATTAGGAGAGATATACACACCAATCTTATTCTTATTTATTATTAGTCTTGTTCAATCAGACAAATACTATGTATACAAACGATTCCCTATTCATTGTTAAACATAGACTTATATTGTCATATCATCTTACAATTGCTGTTTTTTTTTTCATTAATTAGCAAGATTATAAAACCTTTTGGTGCCATTGGATCTCAATTCCACAGAACTCTAAATGGCGCCAGACCGTTAAGTTACATGCAGAAAAAAATGTGAAACAAAATATGCAGATCTGCATTTGAATCCGATTAAAATTGTCAGAGAGTGATCTTAACGAAATCCATGAATCTCATCTTGGTAATATTCGAGAGAAATCACTTCATGTTTCTTAATTACTTATTAGGCAATGAAAACTTGTAATTAATAGTCATTTTAACTTCTATAGTTCCATAGTGGTCTTGGAAAAAAGATATTAATTTTTTATCATTTATTATTGTTCACAGAGCTTTGTGTTGAGTTTATTATTATGTATATAACATAGAACTAACTTTCTGAAAATGGTAATCTTCAATTTTTCATTTCTGTATTGTTATTGATAAAATGAGTGGGGCAAGGAGCTCAATCATATCCAGTAGAAAATTTACTTCTATCATTTTTTATGTTAACTCCTTTACTGCTCCACAAAAATGTTCAATCAGTGACACTAAGTAATTTATTGTGATTAATGATTTAGTTCTAGGCAGTATTAATATAGAAATGTCACTTCATTTATAACATATTCACCTTGGTAGGTGATACCAGTATATTTTAGATAGAAAGTGTTCATAGATTATTTTTATATAGGCAGTTTCGATGAACTCAGAAAAACAGTTCTGAAAAAATTTATTGAGTTGGTGTCACTTGAAACTTATCATGTAAATTCAGATTGAATTTTCAGAAAGTTTGTATCTTGTGGGAAGCAATAACTTGCTTGTGATATTTGCATATTTTACTATATTTATTCATTATTGGAGTTTGTAAATATAAATCATTTATTTTAAATAAAAAAAAAGAAACTTGTTACATCCCAGTATTTGTTTAATATCAACCTACCAATAAATATTACAGAGTATTTCTACAATAATAAAACAATGAATAACAGGCTTTATCAATTTCCATTAAAAAAAAATAAGTCCACCATCAATAAGCATTATCTGTTCAGCGCACTGCGTTAGAGAGATATCCCCGACTTAGTGAGGCAGATAAGTGCAAAAATGTGCTGTAAGGATGAGAATTGGTATGAATGTACATCAAGAGGTAGATTTTTAATTCGAAAACACCGTGGGCCATATGAAAATCCAAGATGACCGCCATTTTTCAAGATGGCCGCCATTTATCAAGATGGCCGAAATTTTCTGTTTGATCTTTGGATCAGTTTGTGTATTTATTATACCAAGGTAATCATTTTCACCACTAACATAACATTAACCCAATGTATTAACATTTTTGGAGAAAAAACGAAAAGCATGATTGTAATTACACATTCAACAAACCAAAGTGCGTAACTTTTACATGTATACAATACATACTATTAATGCATATATTTAATCTAGTCCTGCCAAATACAGCTGCACAATGGTGTGCATGGAAGTTCAAACCAGTAGCATTCAACCTGACATCCACATTTTGTCAGTTGCTGATAACTTTCTTACATGTTGTACTCGATCTATCGTACATTACAACCACAAACTATTAAGTTCTTACAGATACCGCTAATACCGAGGTTTTAGACCTATTCCAATTAGATCCGTCCGTCTCAAGAATTTTTTAAAAGCAGAAGCCCGGAAAACTCATTTCTAATGAATCTGGGGTATTTCCATCTATACGTTAATTTTTTTTTTGGCTTTGAAGAACGATTGTGAACTGCCATAATTCAATTTTGAAAATGTTCTCCTGTGGTTACGATCCAGCCCGGAAAATGAATTTTCGGTGATTCCAACGCACTTGATATGCAATTTCTAATTTCGATGTAATTTGACTAACACATTTGTATATATGACTTTAATATATACCTAGAACAAAGAGTTAAGCGCCACCAGAACCATTGTGTCGCAAATGAATACGATTCACAATCATACTTAATAACAGAGATGTATATATTGGGGCCTAATGTTGAAAACAATATGTATTCGTGAAAAAGTCAGCAAAAGGAAGTGGATGATCGTACATTATATTGTCTTTATAGCCCCAAATGCAAAGTATCTGTTTTTCATCAGTCTTTGAATGTCCTGTTGAGGAATTTGCTGCCACTCCTGATGCAATGCTGCATCCAACTCTGTTACAGTATGCATAGAAGGGTCTCTACCACGTACGCGACGTCCCAAAATATACTGAATTAAAGTTAGTGGCGCTTAACTTTAAATGTTATAATATATATAGTATAGTATAGTATATATAAAATGATTGATAGCTTGATTACTATGATCACGTTACGGTTTTCAAATAAAATAGAAGCTCGTGAAAGTCATAATGTTTGTTGAAAAAAAGGGTGGAGCTTCAGCCGTGCAATAACATCAAAATGAACTGGTTGAAGCACACTAAAGCCCCACCCTACTTTCCACTACTTGAAAGATTTGGTTTCATGTCAACATATCCAAGTATGTAATTTAAGTTACAATATGTATTATTTGACCTCTGGGTTGTTAAATTTACAGGAAGCGACAAAAGATGTTTCAACGTGCTATTATTTCTGAAGTATGAGAAAACACACATAATATTCCAATGCTTTCAGTATGTAATAAAATCTTTCAAGAAATTCTATAAAAATATTGAAGTATCACATACTAATCTGTCATCTAAGAAAGGACTGATTTAATTTGCAAAGGAGAAAATTGCAATTTCCGCTTTTAATAAGAAAAAATCTCTGAGGATATGACAGCAAAATGAATTTGGACCGGTTCCATGAGTTTGATATATAGCATATTAATCAATTGTAGTTTAATCCTTCAATTAGTTCATGTTTTCTTGCAGTAATTTAATCAAGCGATAAAATATGAAAAATAATAGATTCATTATAATAATAGTGAAAGTAGTCCACTGACTTGGTGTTCGAGAGATGCAGTACTGAATCTTAAAATTGGTTATAAAGAAAATACCCACCAAAATGGCCATCGAAAAAACACAGAGGCCATAATAGCTTTTTCAAGATATGGTGTTCCAATGAAAATTGTCAAATAAATGCGAAAGCTTCAGTTGGTTTGTGAACTGAGTTATTCATATAAAGCCTGGTTACCCTAGTCTGAAAGCTTCTAGAATCTAGTCTTAAGATTAAAGATTTGATTTATATCCTAATCATTTCGTACATCGAAAAGTGTAATCGATTTATCGGATTAGCTAATTCGACACATTTAGCTGTTAATCTGTAGGTAATCTATTTGGCATTCTATATTAATTGTGTCAACTGTTTCTTGTTAATATTAGAAAAAGTGTTTTCAAACCATAGGAAGTACATCGTCGTTATATTTATGTGAAAAAACACCCATCCTTCACATACACACAGGAGCATGATAATAGCTAAACAGTTCTAACTTTTTCCTACAACAGAAAGCAGCAGTGATTGAGATACCAAATCCTATAAAGTGAAACACAACTAAGAGTAAGCAGACCAAAATATAAGGAATAAAGTTATGGAACGTTATGTTAGATTTTATAAATCACGATGATTGACTCTGGTTTTCCAAGCAAAACCAATATAATAGAGTATTACGTCTTCCTTTCTATATTGACTATGTGACACTGTATCTAATCATGTGGTTAACGTGTTAATTGGTTATTTTGATATATTAAAAGAAAGGGTATAATCGGTGTGAATTAATGACGATTATCTTTTCAATTGACTAAACTAAGCGTGCTGCCAGTCTAACAGTTGATAATATAGTTAGAAATCATTGGTTACTGATTAGTCATTTCTGTCTCTTTCTCCAACCCATAATAACTATAATCACTTCACTGTATCAACGTGTACTGGACGAGTCTTAGTTTTTGTATACAAACCGATACCTTAAGACACTTTAACACATGACCTTAACATTTTGCGGAATTGGTGTTTCAGAGGTTTCTTTTTCTTTCAACTGCAAGTTTATAAACAAACTTTATAATTTTATGAAAAACGTAGATTTCAGCTTGGAAACTTACATATTGAGTTATCTAAATGTGTGTTCTTATGATTCGCGATTGCGCTTATTTATGGAATTTACTATAGTAAAGCTTTGGCCATTGAAACTTTGGAATAAATGTATGATACCTTCATACTATTACGAACCCTACCTATTCAATTTGTATTCGATAGAATCTTGCGCAAAATAAATCTAAAATGGGATGGTAATCGTTGTTTGGGTTCTCCATATTTACCATTAAGAGACAATACATACGTTTATCAACATATATCAAGTTTTAAATGTAATTTTTCTGGATTAGGAACATAGGAGACTGCACGGCGAAAACATGACGGCCGAGAAGACTGAAATCAGCGAAACATCAGAGGTTTGTGATACAGAAACTTCGGACATGTCTGCAGTGGCTGAGGATGAGGCCAAACTTCGTCTTAGAAAGGTTCTTTTGGGACATTTAGAGAGTTTGCCGCCATTAAGCTCCAGAATTGTTAGAATTTTTACAAGTTCTACATTTACCGGTAAGATATTTCATAAAATTAATTTTGTCAAGTCGAATGGCGATTTATAGCGGTCGACATGCTGGGGATGTCGAAAGATGACCAACTATACTGGCAACTGCAATCAGCTGGTCACGAAGGTCGCAGATTCCTAATGAACTTTTGACTCTAATATTTAATGTTTACTAGAAAAGAACATGGTGGCAGTTGTGAACTATTTCACGTTGGTGAGCTCAGGTCGACTCAATTTATCAGATTCCCCAGGATTCAAAAGAAGCATTTTTACCGGATGTTTGTATCATTATCCTGTATAGTTTTCTGGATTTGTTGATGTTTGTGCACTTTGATTTTAAATGTTGAGACTGGCTCCTGATAGAACTGGTCATTGACAAAAGACATTTTTTGTCAAACTCAAGAGATCATCTCTCCAACATCGCCAATGATACTTCCTCATTACTACCCAAAAACATCTTAATTATCCGAACAAGTTACAATAGTTACAAATGTCTAAAAAATATCTGAAAATATATCTGTTTAATGTGTTACATATATTTTGTAACATTGATATTTGACCTTTTATTCATGTTATACCTTCAAACAATATCCTGCGTTGCCAAAATATGATATCCGTTGCAGTAAATTAACCAGAAAGTCATGAAATAGATGACGTTCGCAGTTTTAGATAATTGGTTGACGTGGTCGCTATCCTGAATCTTCGGCAAACTCAAATTCTTTTCACCCTTTTTATATATTTATCTGCTGCTGGATATTTTATCGCTAGTTTGTTTATTTGGATGAATGGAATATTTAAGAGGATAAAAGTGAGGTTTCCGATAAAATTAAGGCGATACTAAAGCTTATTAGATATAGTTAAAGCCACGAACAGTGACACCTCCAGACTCACGTGGCTGGGATTCAAACAGGGGGCAGACTCAATGGGGTGAAAACTATTTCGGGACAGAAACGTATAAAAATTTTATATTATAATTTGGTAGATATAAATTTGAGGTACAATTTGGGATACAACCCGTTTTCTAGAGGGGTAAATGTTCCTTCTGTACCATGCAGGTGTGCTAGTTGCCAGGAGGTTGTTTACAGTTGGTTTGAGATCAATATTAATTTTCAGTTATTGTACACAATGTTCATCTGATAAAAACTATATATAAGCACACTTTGGTTAAGTTCACCATAAAACTGTATATTTGTTGCTCTCCAGTCAAATGAAACGATAGAACTGTGGTCGGAATACTCAATTTGACATTTGACTCAGTACAGAGTATTGAGAGCATGTGACTTAGCTATTAGTTTTGGAAATATTTGACCCAGTAGGTATTATTGGGAGTATGTTGACTCAGTAGTTAGTACTATTGGGAGTATGTTGACTCGGTAGGTATTATTGGGAGTATGTTGACTCAGTAGGTATTATTGAGAGTATGTTGACTCAGTAGGTAGTATTGGGAGTATGTTGACTCAGTAGTTAGTACTATTGGGAGTATGTTGACTCAGTAGGTAGTATTGGAGTATGTTGACTCAGTAGTTAGTACTATTGGGAGTATGTTGACTCAGTAGGTATTATTGAGAGTATGTTGACTCAGTAGGTAGTATTAGGAGTATGTTGACTCAGTAGGTATTATTGAGAGTATGTTGACTCAGTAGGTAGTATTGGGAGTATGTTGACTCAGTAGTTAGTATTGAAAGTATGTTGACTCAGTGGTTAGTATTGAAAGTATGTTGACCCAGTAGGTATTATTGAGAGTATGTTGACTCAGTAGGTAGTATTGAAAGTATTTTGACCCAGTAGGTATTATTGAGAGTATGTTGACTCAGTAGGTAGTATTGGGAGTATGTTGACTCAGTAGTTAGTATTGAAAGTATGTTGACCCAGTAGGTATTATTGAGAGTATGTTGACTCAGTAGGTAGTATTGGGAGTATGTTGACTCAGTAGGTATTATTGGGAGTATGTTGACTCAGTAGGTAGTATTGAGAGTATGTTGACTCAGTAGGTATTATTGGGAGTATGTTGACTCAGTAGGTATTATTGGGAGTATGTTGACTCAGTAGGTAGTATTGAGAGTATGTTGACTCAGAAGGTAGTATTGGGAGTATGTTGACTGAGTAGGTAGTATTTGCAGCATGTTGACTCAGTATTTTTGCTGGGTGTGTACCTACAAGCATTGAGAACCACTGTAATGGTTTCTTTCTGATTATGCAGTGTCTTTTAATTTTCAATGAGGTTTTCAATGATAGCAAAAACCATTATATTAATGAGATAAGAAGTACCAATTGACTCGGCATAATATGTTTATTTTCTGATAAGACAATAACCAGACCTATCTGGGTTTTATCAATGATAGAAATGGCATGAACTGGCATATGAAAACGAACGTCCGCTGCATATTGAGATTATTTTTGGGAGTGTTTAGAACGCGGTGAAACATGTACGTTTTGAAAAATATATATATAGTCTGAATGTAGTGTTCATTTTTTTAATTATCGATGAAGATCTTTTACAAGAGGGTTAATTCAGTCGGACAATTTCATCGTCCTTTCATTGGCAAGTATTATAAACAAACAAGAATCAAAGTAGTCCAAGTTGGAAAGAACAGAGGCTAGCATTTTGGAAATATCCATGTTGATACGCAACATTCCATTCTTGTACTGATGGAAATATACAAAGCAGATACTAAAGCCGTTCAAGACGTTGACATAATTTTATGTTGTTTATTGTTTTTTAACAATCGCCATTGAATTTTCTGATTTTTAACAGAATGAATTCAAAATCTACTTTATAGTATTAATACATTTAATTTAATTCCAGATACAACACTAGAAAGAAATAGTTTGATGGAAAAAGTTTATCCGATGTTAAAAGAATATTGTAGAGAGCGCCACGGCTTAGAGTTTCAGGTAAAGTGAATAATTTAATTCCGTGCCCCATTGGTTTAGACATCATAGTCTACCGTTTCAGTTGGTGTTAGAACCATGTCAGATGGTACAATGGTACGATGTACAAGTTGGTCACAATGTTATTCTGGCCTCGCGATACTTAGACAATGCTATTGATTTACACGACATCATGCTTTGATAGTCAATTGGTCCCGACCATTTATTTCTACGCAAACCACGATGACTGTGGTCCAATCAGTCAAGATGGCATTCACTATCACAGACATTCTGTATTGGTGTTTAGGTTTTTGTTGCAAAGGAATCGCGGATCTTGCATCATGTCAATTGGTCAAAGAGATCTTTCTGTGGGTCAAAAGAAAAACAATGGAACGAAACATCCAGATCTATATTTTAATCTGAATCTGAATATATAGATACTATTACTATAATAGGTCATAAAGAATAGGTCCACATATTGATTTCAAGTCAATTTATGATAAATGAAGGACGACTGTCCACTGACCTACTTAATAGAATATAAAATACATCTGGATTTCCATTTATATTTCTCACAACCCGTGGGGTGTGTCAGCAAACAATTAACAAGTTATAGGCACCCAGTTCCACGTTTAGGCTCTTAATGATAACCGTAAAAGTTTCTCAGTAGTTTAAGTTGTTTTTTGATGCAAGTTCAGAAGTCAGATAATTATCAAAGATTCAAACTTCATGATAACACCCTTTTCCTCCAATCACAATCTTTCTAAAACATCTTCTTTAGTTCATGCTTGTTCTTTGGCGTTTGCATTGGCTTTTCATCAGCCCGTCTCAGCATGGTTAAAAAGAACGTTGTTGTTTGTCCGAGCTGAATTTACGACAATGTTCGTTATTAATATCAGAATATCGGACATTGTCACCATGTCTAGTATGCTATAAAATCTAGGAATGAGTGTTGTAGAGTGCGACGTGGGAGATCTTATTATCAGTTTGGTTCAATGACCAGTTCCGTTCATAATCTAACATTGTCAATGCTATCTGTAATTATTTGTTTATTTTCTACTTCAAACCAAATCAATTGTTTACTATGTTTAAACAACTTCAGCAACCAATTGATATTTATCAAATAGCTAAAACCCTTTATTAGCCTTTGTAGCATTCTTGACAGTGTACGGTTATAGAGTCAAGATGACATCATGGAATGAGTGACTTAAGTGTCACTTCCGATAAATGGAGATTATTTTGAAGGCCTACTCGATAATAACGTGACACGCCGTTGTATAAAGGTACTTTGCGATTCAAAGCATCTATATGATATTATTTGTAGGTTGTTGATATGAGATGGGGAGTACGAGATGAAGCTACTGATGATCATATGACCGTACAGCTGTGTATGCAGGAGATAGATAACTGTCAAAGACTTTCTGTCGGTCCTAATTTTGTTGTAAGTATATTCGACAGAAAAAAAAAATATTTAATTGAAAATTTTTCGCAGATCATAGCAACACAAAAACAACTAAAAGCTAGCAGCATATTTAACTTTTACTTTAGATTTGCCACAAATTCACATTCTTTGTATTCCTCCCTCACAAATATAACACATGTTGCTATTGGCTACAGACAAACACTGCGCGTTTATTCAATCACATAAATCACCAACCATATACAAATCTATTACAGAATAACATATATTCTATCTTAATAAACATATATAATCATATATACAGCACTAATATCATCAGGGACTCCTTTGATCATTGAATCTCAATGCCACCCAGGAAAAACTGACTCAGAAACCTGTGCTCATGCGTAATGCAAAGAGACCCTACAAAGTTTGCGTTGAGCGAACGTCTATATATCTATAAATATCAATCCCACACAGAAGTAATGCTGAACATTAAATACATGTATACACACTATAATAACAACACTTATATCATCGTCAATTTAAATCTAATTTAAATCTTTACTCGTTGTATTTTATACCCTTGTTTGTATGTATATACTATTTAAATACGAGCCCAAATTAGGTACTCAAACACCCCGAACTTCATACATGAAACTACATGTCAAGTAATACACTCAAAAAAAAACATCTGAAAGCATTTAGAACGCAGGCACCCAGTACCTCTTAACAGTGCAAATACACATCAAAAAATGCACTCCGTGGCCTTTCTTAGCCTTTTAGAACGCAGACATCCAGTACCTCTTAACAGAGCAAATATACATCAAAAAATGCACTCCGTGGCCTTTCTTAGCCTTTCAGAATGCAGGCACCCAGTACCTCTTAACAGTGCAAATATACATCAAAAAATGCACTCCGTGGCCTTTCTTAGCCTTTCAAAACGCAGGTACCCAGTACCTCTTAACAGTGCAAATATACATCAAAAAATGCGCTCCTTGGCCTCCCTTGGCCTTTTAGAAATCCGGTACCCAGTACCTCACATAGTGCAACTACAAGTCAAATAATGCACTCCTTGGCATCTCAAGGCCTTTAAAAAATGCAGGTACCCAGTACCTAATTACAGTGAAAATACACATCAAAAAATGCATCCCTTGGCATCTAATATATAGCCTTTTAAAAAATTGAATTGCTTTTATCACAAATAAAGGTACAACGTATAGTGTATGCTTGTCTTAGCGCGAATGAAATCATCAACATACATTCAACCCTTTATACTGAACATGATTACATCTGAACACTTTACTCACTGTTAATTTGTTCACATGACAAAGAAAATATTTCACTCTTAATTCGTTCAACTCAAACAGAGTAAAATACATTCTGAATTGAAATGCCTCGATATCTGTATTGTGCTAAAACATAGATAAATATACATGTAAATATCGAAATAGGATAAATATGTCTTCGGTGACACAAAAAACTTCAGTGGCATGAAACGAATTAACATCATTATAGAAAAACACTCTAAACTGATCGTCAACAGCCAATAATTGACAACTCAAAAATGGCTCGTCCTGGAACCGAGCTGCAATCAACTGAATAGAGTCTCATTGGTATAACATAGGATCTAGAAGGTGTATGTCAAACCCAGGAACTATCAGCATGCTCCATTGAACACCGATAGCTTTCTATTTATTGGAAATTGATCTTTGCTGAATATTATACCTTATTATCGTTAGAGCAATTAGATTCCAACTACTTTACCATTGTTCTGTGGTCTAAACTTATTACTGCCGCGTATCAACTTTCATTATTTGATCATTTCATTGGCATTATTTTCTTCCGTTGCAGTCTCGGATAATTTGAAATTGGTTTGAAAACGGTAAAATGTTATTAAATAGAAAAAGCTTTTATTGGTTAGGATATCGATTAACTGTCTACTGATCGTTTAATTAGAATAAGTAGAATAATCGATTACTCATTATCATTAAATGTTTTGTTATTAATGTAAAAAGTTCAGTAAACACATTCTGCTTGAAACAATTGGATTATCGTTCTAAATCGTGTGGATTGATACAAAAACAATTTGAAAATTGCAAAGATTATTTCCCGAAATATCCGTTTCCTTAATATCGAATCTCTGTCGCTCATTTATATAGATTGTATTACTGAGAATTTAAATGTTCTATATCTCTTTCTGTCTTCTGGACGTGTTACAATACAAAACCAAACATGCTATAGAAGGGCATTTAAAGTCAGACAGGGAAAAAAAAATTTCGGATGGTCTTCAGCAAACAAATAAATTACAAAATATTAATATTAGCAAAGTTCGCATTTTTACGTTAGGTTACGACAAATGGTCGGGATCACCTGCAGGAAGTTTCCACGAAGTATGCCACATTCTCCGATTTTTGTCTTAGGGCTGTCGATCACCTGCGAACATTGAACAATTTTTCGAATCCGACATTATGAACTCACACTATTAACATCAATATCTTGTAGGTTTTCCTGGGTCAGAAATATGGTTACAGACCACTACCAACTCATGTCCTAGTTAGAGAGTTTGAGATGTTAAGAGAGTGTGCTAGGAATGTACCATCAGAATTAGAGTTATTAGATGAATGGTATAAACGAGACAATAATTCTGTCCCACCAGTTTACGTGATACAACCTATCAGCTCAATATTACCCAACTTTAACAATAAGGTAAAATTTTGAACCCTTAATCTCTTACCGATGGACAAATATAATATTCATTTACATGACCATATTCCAGCTTGTTGAATGAATAAACTTATCTACCCGGCGTAGGAAACATTTTGAGCAAAGCACTTATATTACACAGGCTTAATGACAAAGAGAAAAAGAAATTCCCCACCCCTTACGCTTATAACTTTGCTTCAATAATATATTTAGACTATTTTCGATAGTAGCTTATATCAGTCTTTGCCTATTTAGAGATCTCAGAGGTTACAAGAAATAGACCAGGCTCAATGGTGGGAAACATTTGGTAAACTTCAGAGAATCATCAGAAAATCAGCACAAGTTCTCTTTATAACTAAAAGAATTGACAGAGAACAACTGCATAACTATTTCATGTCAGGTACGTACACCCTTAAAGGGACTTTTATGCCATTTTTGGACCAATCGTATACCTTAGGCTCTGAAACTTTAGCTAATAGCCCCATCACACCGGGTTGCGACCATTTGCGATCTTTACAGCGACATGAAATATACTAGTCGCGGTCAAACGTGAGGAAAACTAAAGAAAAAGCCCCTTAAAGATGACAAATTTAAAAACAGTCGACCTGTTATCGTGAGTTATGCGACCATATTGCGTTTTAAAGTTTGTACAGCATCTTTGCCATATGCGTGGACTGCGCTTTTATACCACTCGAGGAGACGTTACAACGCTTGTTTGACGACCTTCTCGATCCTATGGCGCTTTCAACGCGCTGCAGAATCGATCACGGCGCTTTCAACGCGCTGCAGAATATGTCCAAAGTAAACCCCCTGATCCCTGGCGAATTTTAGAAAAATATACAAGATATTCGTGATCAACATGGAAATCGCCTTAGGGAACGTGTCTTTGAAAAGGGTAGGATCTTGAAAAAAGTGTTTATTCGCCTGCCCCTACCTATACGCTTATACCACGCATATGGCGACTTAAACACACTCTGAGCTAATTTTTCATCGAAGTAGCAGAGCAGTAAGAACGCAGTAATCTGGTCATCGTCGAAATTTGAGCCTTCAAATCCATGTGTGTCCAGAATTATCTGCGTTTTAAAGTTAATATATAGAAATAGAAAAAGAAAATTTTTGCAATTATGCGACTTTCGTACACTTCTAGTACTTCTGAAGCGGTTTAACATAGACCCCAATTCCAAGAGTTTTTAGAACTATGGACATCCAAGCTCTGGTTCACAGTACACCTTCCATTCATTACATTGTTATTCGATACCAGATTGATTAAATGCTTTAAATCCTTTAATGCAACAACCTTCCCAAAAGGTCCAGTTTGTGACCTTATTTCAAACAATAGGTAGTAACTAACAGATTCAAAACTGGTTTTTTTCAGTGACTGAACGAGAAATAGTTAGAGGATGCTTAAAAGCACCAAACGCAGATGAACATTGCTTGGCTTATATCCGAGATATTTCTAATATAAACGTCACACTCCTACGATTAGCTGGGAAGTTCGTTGATTTGGCTGCTAGAAATTTGGATGGGGAGGCTCAGAAGTTTCTGAAATCGTTACGAGATGATAAAATACCAAGGAAACTGCCAGCTAGCAATGTTGCAAGGTACGATATTGATATGATTACATTCGATTAAGTGATCCAAAGCGTTAAATGACCATTAAAGGGCCAGTGTGTAGTTTTGTGTGTCCACCAAATGAACTGTGTCTGATTTTTAGATTTTCACATTTTGTGACACTTTCTCTGCTAATTTTCTCTGACAATTTGTGTCAGAATTGCAGCCAGGAGTGCAAAGGAGTTATGTTTAATTCGTCTCTGGTTATTTGATGCATTGTATCTGAGTTGAGTTACAATTCCAATGCTACCCCATTTTATATTTCCATTATATCCAAACATAATACCTTTCCGGATTAAACCTAATAGAGTTTCTATAAAATTTCCTACAATTCAATGAATGGTTTTCTATTTGAAATTGTTCAGTATGTTCTGATAAGATTGTTTACATGTGAAGTGATATCATAATTCTCTATCTGACAACGTGATATCCGCCAGGCTTGTCGACTATTATTTAATAGATTAATGAAACAGGAATTTAGACCACATGCAATGCAGACTTAATTGTCTTCGCTAATGCAATAATTGCATAATATAATTAAATAGATAACTTGAACAAGTTAATATAAAGAGAATTTCACTTTCTAGACTTTAAGGTATTAAAGTGTTGTCATGTTTAGGATTATAGAAAATAAACAGTTTCAGAAAGCATTAGACTCAATTACAACTGATTGACGTCAACATGATGTGTTAATCATACTCAGGGCTATTCTGGTTAAGAAATTTTTTGTCAAGATGGCATTTTGTGATGTTATTTCAGATTTACTGTGGAATGGTGCGGGAAAGACGGAATCGATCCTGAATCTCACGGAGAATATTTCAACCAATTTTGTGATCATTTCTACCACAATGTAGTGCGACTTATAGACAATTCTATGGCGAAACATGAGAAACTGGCCAATGACCCGGTGTACTCTGAACCATTACAGCACCTTCATGCCTGTCAACAGTTCTGTAAAGTGTTCCAGGGCCGAGAAGAGGTTGTGGAGAAGATTAAAGATTATATCAATGGAAGCAATCAGTCTAACCAACCATTCATTCTGTACGGGGAAAGTGGCTGTGGAAAAACATCTCTCATGGCAAAGGGAGCCAGTCAGGTAATATAATGATCTATTGTTTTTCATTTCCATACCCAATGTTTAGGTAAACAGCAAGACGGGCATTTTATAAATTGAAGAGTATCTTCAAATCTTTATGCTATGAGAATGTTTGGAATCTGAAGCATAATGCCATGCTTTCAATTTTCTTCATAGGAATTGATTCCTTGAGGATGAAAAATGATAAAATGAGATTGGTTACAAAAAAAAAACATTTGACAATATAAAGACAACGAAACACTTGAAAAAAAAACACTATCTGTTTCAGGTAAGAGACTGGTTTCCTGATATTAAAGTAGAACCTATGGTGATTATACGATTCCTTGGAACCACACCAAGAAGTTCCAGCATCAACCCGCTTTTGACTAGCTTATGTAAACAACTATCAGCAATGTACAGCAATAACAGCAATGATATACCAACAGAGCTGGCTCCATTAACACAACACTTTAAGAAGTTGCTGACTCTGGTAGGAGAGGACATGCCACTGGTTATTTTCTTGGACTCTTTAGATCAGCTGTCTGGTACGGACGGTGCTCATCAGCTGACATGGATTCCAACAACGCTTCCACGAAACACACGGCTGATTTTATCGACACTCCCAAATTATTTTAACATTCTAAACAATTTAAGAGCCATGATTGAGGAAGAGAAAAACTACGTTGAAGTTTTGCCTTTAGGAGAAAATCTAAGTAGTACCATCCTGAAGCTCTGGCTGAAAGATGCCAAGCGCAACGTATCTGAAGAGCAATGGGTCGTCGTGAATGAAGCCATATCCAAGTGCAACCTCCCGCTGTTTGTAAAGTTAGTGTTTGATGAAATCTGTAAATGGAAGTCTTATACGATGCCCAATATGACACCACTGTCATTTACCATTCATGACAGCATCATGGAGCTTTTTAAAAGAATTGAATCCAAACACGGGAAAACCCTAGTGTCGCATGCTCTTGGATATATCACTGCTACCAAGAGTGGAGTTTCCGAAGCAGAATTGGAAGATTTACTGTCTTTGGATGATAAGGTTCTGAATGATGTGTACCAGTACCACTTACCACCAGTCCGTCGGATTCCATCTTTGCTATGGACGAGAATTCGCAATGATCTTCCTGGCTATCTCAGTGAAAAAGAAGCGGACGGCGTAAATGTCATTGGTTGGTATCATCGTCAATTTATTGACGCAGCCAAAGAGCGATATTTCAAGAATCTGAATTTTGTACGAGATATGCATTCGAATCTTTCAGATTACTTTTTGGGTACGTGGGGAGGCGGTATCCCCAAACCATTTGAATACACAGAGCTCCACAGACAGAGGTTCAATTTGCATGAAAAAACTGGAGAAGGAGATCGGAAGGTACCTCAACAACCACTAAAATTTGTTGATAAGGATGGTAGAGTTATACGACATAATCTTCGTAAACTCAGTGAGCTTCCGTACCACCTACCTCGATCACATCGACATGATGAGCTCTATGATCAGGTGTTATTCAACTATAAATGGTTACACGCTAAATTAAGCTCCATGCCACTTCAAAGCGTACTGTGGGACTTTCAAGATTTACTGCAAGGCAAGTATGATAATGACGTTAAGCTTATTGCTGACACTATCCGTTTATCAAGTTCAATTCTTATTCATCATCCCAACATGTTGGGTCCACAACTTATAGGACGACTGCTTCCATTTTACGGACAGAATCCTAAGATTCAGGCTTTGATTGAGCAATGCGATACCGACGGTTTAGCAGACTGCGGTCTTGTACCAGCGTATCACTGTCTTCATACACCCAGTGGGCCATTACAGTTTTCTCTTGAAGGTCATCCATTTGCTCCATTTGGGATCGGTACAACTTCAGACGGTAAATTCCTCGTGTCAGTGTCTAACAAAATTATAATTTGGGACTTTCATACCGGAGAGATTATAAGAAACATCAACCCAGGAGTAGAGGGTATCATGCAGAACCTTAATATTTCTCCTAATGATAAATATTCCGTTAGTAACACTAATAATAACCATATAGTAGTCTGTGCCATCAAGACGGGCGAATACAAAGTCATAACCGCTAGCAAGCTCGAGAAGAATGAATTTATCATAGGAACTTATTTGTCCAATACTCAAATAGCAGTATGTACAGACAAAGCCTGGTATTTGTATATGATGGACGGAACTTTCATATCAATGAACACTTCAGAACAGAAAATGCCAGTTTTGCATGTTGATTTGTGCTCCAATGATGCAAATTACGTCATTGTAAATAGTGGTAAGGAAGACACCACTGATTTAGCTTTGGAATCAGACAACAACTCTTTCAGTGCTTTTGAATTTCATAGTGCGATAGTGCTTACTAAAGACAAACAAATGTTGTATACGTGTATAGAGATTAGTGACAATTCTATAGTGCTTTATCAGCGGACAGACAAAACTTGGAAATACGTTAAGACTATATCGGATAATAAGGACAGTGTGTTTGCTCTTGCACTGTCAAGGGATGAAAAGTATCTTATTGCCACTGTGGCTTCTGGATTCAAATTGTGGGACTTACGGATTATGACAAGACGAGATTTAAAACTTCCTCCAGGGGCCAGAAATATTCCGTCGAAAAATCAACTAACAAGTCAAGTGGTGTTCACACGATTAAACGAATTCGTAGTATCAACTGTGCGCAAGAATATTTATGTATGGGACGCAAAACAGGGCAACTTAGTCAAAATATTAGACGCACATTTTGGACGTATCATTTCATTATCGCCAGTCTTTTCTGGGTGTAATATAATCATATCTTCGTCTATCGATAAGACAATAAAAGTCTGGAACTTTGATAAAATTCTTGAAGATGTTCACCCAATTGACAGATTAGAGAAACCTATTGAAACACTGGAACTTGCCTCCAAAGCGGACCTGTGTGTAAGCACCACTAGAAATATGGTGGCAGTGTGGAGCTTGTTGACTGGACGACTAGAAAAAACATACACGTGCCACTCAAGAGGTGCTGTTATAACATATGCTGTAATTACCCAAGACGGGAAGTTCGTTATTTCTGTTGAGTCTGGTATCGCTGTTCTTTGGGAACTTTCGAGAGATACGGCATTAACGTCTTTTCCTGTTGGAGATGTACAACATGTATTGAAAATGGATGACGATAAAAAGATCTTAACATTTTCTAAACCACCGTCTGGGAAAGGTACATGTGTCTGTTTTGAAATACCAAGTGTGGGGGTGTTATATAAGTTTGAATATAATGTAAAGAAATTTCGGCCACCTGTTTTGTCCCAGGACGAAGTACACCTTGTGGTTCCGGCTAGTGATAAAAGTGGTGATGTTGTGGGGGTATATAACGCTTTGACTGGTACATTGGTATATAACTTACAACTAAAATATAGCAACTTCACAGACTATAGCCATGTGATTGCTCTACCACATGACTCTAATCTGATCGCTGTTATAGACTCAGATAAAGCCAACATTTTAGATTTGAAAAAGAAGACGCTGATTAGATCAGTCAGTAAATGGAATGGAGTGGTAACTCAGAATGGTAAAATGGGATTTAATGCACCAAGTCGCGGTGGTTTACAGCTCATCGATACTAAACATGGGAAACCAATTCGAACCCTTATACCAAGAGTTGCAGAAGGAGTGTTCTCCATGGACGTGCTCTTCACCAAGGACGACAAATACATACTGTATTACCATTCCGGACACAGGACGATTAGGGTCTTCAGGATCAGTGATGGGAAACTTATTGCTAACTTCAAACCGCAAGCTGAAGTTAAAGTAATCAAAGGAAGCAGTGATGGAACTAAAGTAGCAATTGGTACAGTTGATGGTCTTGTAACGTACATGGTTCTAGCCGATCCTGACGACGGGGGTAGCAGAGATCTCATCAAATCCTTGTACAGTCGACAATTACATGCAAAAAATACCAATTCAAAGTTTAATGCTAATGGCGAAGTCATAAACAGTAAAGTTGCCATGGGAACTGCACTTCAAGTTGCGCGGTTTGTAGCAAAGGCGCGGGGGGCTCAGAAATCACAGGCGTGTGTAATTTCGTAAGCATTGAATTACGTTTGAACGCATACTTTGTCTGTTCAAGAAGCAAATGCCGTTTTATATTCATTTTAATTTCTCAATTTTATGGATTAACCGTGAATTCTATTTTAGATTTATGTAAATTAAATCTTAAATCTGATCAGCCCTTTTGAAACCGTCCTTAAATGATCATTTGATGTGAAACACTGAAACATATTGTATGAGATGCTTTACTGTTGAGGAAGGGAAAATAATATGTCTACCGAACATAGTACCCGTTCACAGGTTTATATTTGTAATAAGTAATGAATGTCGAAAATACATGACTATTGTTGTTTTGTTTTTTTTTAAAATTGATTGCAATTATTTTCTCCATACATATCAATGGTGTTTATAATCACTGAACATACTTAGGAAATATTGAAAAAAACAAATGTCTCTTAAATAATCCTTTTCATGTGGATATGAATAAAGCCTGTTTGAAATTTGTATATCTGATTGGGACTGTAAAACACCCTTCACATGAAAATATAAAAACTAATTAAAAGATGGACTTAAATAATCAATAGCTTGTGCTTCATGCTCTCATATTTGTATACATCCAAATGAAATGGGGGCGATGTAGGGGTGTAGTGACCTGCAGAAAAACATGAAACGAAAAATCTAGAACGAAACTGCATTTTAATCAAATAGTGATTTTCTGATTAATTCTCACATCAGAATCAACTATACTGATAATGTAAAATTACGACTACTGAGATTCTCGACAGTGTTTACTTCCCTTTGCCTTTGTTAAACAGAAAATGGGAAGTAATTCTGTCGTGATAAATTATCTTGCTTGTAAAGTATATATTTAGATATTTTGGGTAGTCATACATTTAGAGGAGAATGAGATTCTAATACATCATTCTCATTCAACAAACAAAAAATTAACCAAAGAACATCGAGCCTACTTCTCAGCATTGAAACATGCCTTGGCTAGCTATAAAGGTCTCGAGGGGTAGCGTATGAAAGGTGCTAGTAGGGAGAGTTCAATTATTTGACAGCTAAAAGACATGCTTCATCTTATTGCTTTCTCGTGTACAACAACGTTTTTTACTTCATCGGCAAACTTTTCTTAGGAGAGGGGGCATTGGGTAACAGATTGGGTCAATACACATAAGATACGGGTCTGATATCGGATAGCAGATTGGGTCAATAGATTTTTAGGTATGGGTTTGGCATCGGATAGCAGATAAGGTCAATATATATTAGATACAGACCTGACATCGAATAGCAGATTAGTTCAATGGATACTAGCTACGGGTCTGACATCGGATAGCAGATTGGTTTAATGGATATTAGATATAGGCCTGACATCGGATAGCAGATTGGTTCAATGGATATTAGATATAGGTCTGACATCGGATAGCAGATTGGTTCAATGTTAATATATACTAGATGCGGGCCTGACATCGGATAGCAGATTGGTTCTGTGGATATTAGATACAAGCCTGACATCGGATAGCAATGTTAATATATACTAGATGTGGGCCTGACATGGGATGATTGTTAACGTGTTTTCCCCCATAGCAGAGGCTCATAAAACTGACAGGGGAAAATAATCTGTAGGATATTATTGGCTATTGATGTACATAGTTGACCAATTATTCTCGTATTAGAAACAAGAATCAGCGGAACATTTATCGTTGGTTTTATTAAAACATGGGATCATTCTAACAAGCAAACTCGGGCATGACAACTTCACACCAAATCAGATTAGTTGTTTACTCATGATATAATAATGAACAATTCATATAATATTTGCGAAACACAGATGTATTGTATAAATGAATTAGTGAAAAAGTTATTGTTAAAATGCAAACTCATTTGATTTATATAACCATTCTAGAATGTAAGGTATGATATACAAATAGAACGTAACTGAAAATCGTTGTAATAATGATCAGAATGCCAAAACAAGCAATAACAGGAATACTTGTCATTTTCAGTATCATTCACTCCTAATCACTTTCTCAGATATCTTATACGTCATTACTCAGATTCACTTTCAACCTATTAGAAAAACAAATGCTGATATCTTTCACTTGCTGCAAAAAATGTAGCTATACCATTGCTTTACGATTACCTATGTCAGTAGTATTATTTGACACTTGGCATCAGGTAGCGCAAACATATGTTGAATTTAACATTCAGCTGGCATCTTTATTCAATCCACCACAGGTGTCTATATTGAAAACCGATCTGTATTGATGTTTTACATCATTATGCTGTTATCTTTTCAAACTTTTCTACGTTTCTGTGTTTTTATTATTTAAACTACATATCACTTACATAATTTACTTTATCAAAAGAACATTTTTGAAAGGAAAAAATATAAAATAGTTGAACGTGGTTTTTATCGTTGTTCTTAAAATACAGAATGTTGATTTTTTTGCTTTAAGCTCAAAATTCAGTGATAATTGCACATCTTTTGCGTAGATAACGCTAAGTATGCAACAGGGGTAATTGTTCCACTTTATCGACAACTTGTTTGACTTGGAGTAGACATGACGTAATTTATTTCGTTGCAAGTGTGACTTTTGTAAACCAATAATTCTCTTCAGAGTTGACATTTTATACTTTACTTCTTTTATTTTCATATTTCTTATTTATATTATTTCCCACGTGTCACCCCTGTGTAATTCTTACACTTTTCATTTGACGGACTCCTTTATTCTTTCACCTTCCATGTGACGTTTTAAACCTTTCATGTGACTCCTTTAACCTTTCATGTTCCCATTTGAGTAAGAAATTTATTTTATTTTTTCAAATATCTTTCTATGTGGCCTCTTTTCTTTTCAAATGATTCCCAGATTTCATTTTCTGCTCACTCGACTCAAACAGAGTACACATCTGCTATTTCCTTATGTGACTCCATTATGTCATTCCATCATATGACTCCCATATTCATTTTCCCAAATGATTTCGACACTTCGGTGATCTTTGCTTTGACTCTTTTTTTTATCCCCAAGTGGCTCGTATGATGGTAATCTCCAATATTACTCAAACAATCCTCTTACTTTCCCGTGAGATCAATATAAGTAGTTGAATTACAATATGACTCTTTAATATTTGTTACTTCCATGTGACTCTGCCATTCTATTACCTTGTGACCTCTTATTTAATCCTTCCGAGTGATTAATAAGTGTACTTAATAATCCATATGACTCATACCAGTCAATTATCTTCCTGCGTGAATCTAATCTTTTACTTCACCAGTGATTTCATATATTATTTTCAGATAAATCTTTTATAGTTTAATCCTTACAATACTGCCCATTGTCGTTTCAGTCAATGGTTTGGCTTAATCAGAATTATCAGGTCGGTGCTGTTAGGTCAATATGCAATTTTAGCTAGCGCAAATTGAAAAGTAAAAATTCAAAATGATATCCGACTTATTTATATTGAATATTGAACCATCTGGTGAAATTAAATGTAGTACATTTTAAATACGATGCCGTGAATCGTAATCTAGATTGCTATGTAACTTGTGACTTATTTGAATATATGAATTTGATAAGCATTACAATACAATTAGTAATATATGTATCAAAAGACGTGTCATAATTCTATCCCTCCTTCCTAATCTTTGTCAAAGATACGTCAAGATTTAAAGCTACAAATGATTTCTTTTATATTATCCTTCATCAGATCTTGAAAATCTCTCTTGAATAAAAGAAGACAAGTGGAACTCTTATTGTCAAGACAAACAAACCATCAGGAGCTACATAATACCAAGAATTAAAAAAAATACAAAAACATTATGGAATCTGTAGAAGATAAACCTTAATAAACCAACACCCTCCCTAACCCGCAACCCGGCATCGTAATCAGGGTACAAAGTACATAATAAAGTGTTAATTAACTGAGTATGTAATTTCTTATCAAATGGATGTATTCAAATGCTGAAATCCCGAGTTTCTACTTGTGACCTAGGCCAGTGCCCCTTTAGGAGAGTACCTATACTGATTATTTATTGGTAATCCACCGTTGACATTATAGACAAATACCAATGGTCTATAGGGGTTTGATTGTATTGGATAGCGAATATTAACCTCTATCAGCTGGTAAAAGCTTATAATTTGACGATTCAAAGTTTTCACCTTGTGGCATCTTTAAGTAGTATGACAGTACACAATTTGAAAAGGATCCAGATACTCCGAGAGTAGATAACGAATGTACAGGTGTACAGTTTAATAATATTCAAGACATGTTTTAAACCTCTGATATTATATTATAATTTATGACTGTACTGAAACATAATCTCCAGTAAACTCTCTACCCTAGAATTTGACACAGTGCCTTATTAACCGTTTTTTTTGAATAAATTAATTGAAGTTAAATAATAAAACAACCGAGCTAATCTTCACAATGTCAAGCTATTACGAACTTCTTAATCTGAACATAAAGCCTTTGCATTCCGTGTTACGATAATAGTTATTTCAGTCAAAGCTTGTCACTATGTTTCATATATTTCATCGTTTGCTTTCAAATTCAGCGAACAAAAGTTTTCTTTTTTGAAGTACTGTTAAATAGCAATGACATAACAGCGGTATACGTCAGATGTGTACCATTTCCTGATTATCTTCCTCTATAGGAAATAACTTTATTTATTGTGTTACATACATAGGAAATGAGTTTGTCAATAAATATCTTGGAATGCTTATAATTTAGTGATAGACAAATCGTTCATTTGATCAGTAAGCAAATTGATCCAATCTGATAACAACATTACTACAACAACAAAACTACATTCATCAATAACAACACTACTACAACAACAAAACTACATTCATCAAAAACAACACTACTACGACAGCAAAACTACATTCATCAATAACAAAATTCCTACAACAACACAACTGCATTCATCAATAACAACATTCCCGCAACAACAAAACTACATTCATCAAAAACAACACTACTACGACAGCAAAACTACATTCATCAATAACAAAATTCTTACAACAACACAACTGCATTCATCAATAACAACATTCCCGCAACAACAAAACTACATTCATCAAAAACAACACTACTACGACAGCAAAACTACATTCATCAATAACAAAATTCCTACAACAACACAACTGCATTCATCAATAACAACATTCCCGCAACAACAAAACTACATTCATCAATAACAAAATTCCTACAACACAACTATATTCATCAATAACAAAACTCCTACAACAACGAAACTACATTCATCAAAAACAAAATTCCTACAACAACACAACTTCATTCATCAATAACATCACTACTACAACATCAAAACTACATTCATCAAAAACAACACTACTACAACAACACAACTATATTCATCAATAACAAAATTACCAGAACAACAAAAGTTCATTCTTAGTAACAACACTAAAACAACAACAAAACTATATTCATCAATAGCAAAATCCCTACAACAACACAACTACATTCATTAATAACAACACTACTACAACAACACAACTACATTCATCAATAACAAAATTCCTACAACACAACTATATTCATCAATAACAAAATTCCTACAACAACGAAACTACATTCATCAAAAACAAAATTCCTACAACAACACAACTACATTCATCAATAACATCACTACTACAACAACACAACTACATTCATCAAAAACAATACTACTACAACAACACAACTATATTCATCAATAACAAAATTACCAGAACAACAAAAGTTCATTCTTAGTAACAACACTAAAACAACAACAAAACTATATTCATCAATAGCAAAATCCCTACAACAACACAACTACATTCATTAATAACAACACTACTACAACAACACAACTACATTCATCAATAACAAAATTCCTACAACACAACTATATTCATCAATAACAAAATTCCTACAACAACGAAACTACATTCATCAAAAACAAAATTCCTACAACAACACAACTACATTCATCAATAACATCACTACTACAACATCAAAACTACATTCATCAATAAAACTATATTCATCAATAGCAAAATCCCTACAACAACACAACTACATGCATCAATAACAACACTACTACAACAACACAACTACATTCATCAATAACAAAATTCCTACAACAACACAACTACATTCGTCAATAACAAAATTCCTACAATCATCAATAACAAAATTACTACTTCAACAGCAAAACTAAATCCATCATCAACGGCATTACTACAAAAGAAAAATTAAAACCATCAATAACAAAATTACCACAAAAACAATGAAAAATACTCCCATCAATATCAAGAACAGAATGCAAATCTTAAGAAAATTAAAACAAATTTTAAAAATAAATCTACGCCCATAGTGTCAGATAAGAAATAAAAATCGAAAGGAAATGCAAACTCCTTATCGACTTAAAAATTTGACAGGATTTGATTAATTAAACGGCGATTACTTATAAAGCCTCTATTGAAATATTGTAAACTTCCAACTCGACAAAGGCAATTGGGATGTCAACTAAGAACATCCAAATCAATCCAAGGTCATCCAAATAAGAATAAAACTCCAGCCTTTTTATGATAATGTTGCTGACTCGGTTTATGATGGTATTTTCACAAAATCAAGGGCAATAACTCTTAATCATATTATAGACATTTTGAACTCGTGTTTCCATCAAATGCAATATTCTACCAAATCTGACAGTCAATCACAAGAAGTAAAAATAAAATCGACAATAACAAAATCAGGGTTGCTACAGGAGGGGGAGAAGTATGCCACCATGAAAAATTTTGACACGATTTTACTAAGTCAAGGGCAATTATTCAAAATCAGTCCGTCGAAAAGTCGTCAAATTCGAACTTGACCGAGATCTTATCAATTCCAATGCTCACACCAAGTTTCATCAAAATCCATTGAAAATTGTAGTTTCTATTGTGCCCACAAAGAAATTTTAACGTGATTTTACTAAATCAAGGGCAATAACTCAAAATATGGTTTCCAATGCACACACCCCGATTCATCGAAATCCATGCTTCTATTGTGCACACAAACAAATTTTGACGCGATTTTGTTAAGTCAAGGGCAATAACTCAAAATCTGTTCATCGAAAATTCGTTCAATTCAAACTTGACCGAGATCTTATCAATTCTAATGCTCACACCATGTTTCATTAAAATCATATGAAAACTGTAGTTTCTATTGTGCCGACAACACATGTTGACGGACGGACCGACGGACCGATAGACCGACGGCCATATACGATCATATTTTCATGTGGACGTGTAAAAAAAACACTCAAAGTTATCATCATCATTAATAAAACAACACTGGAAGCACAACTTTTTATCTTTTTACTCCAATGAGAAAATGCAAAGTATGTTTTTTATAGACATCAGAGTGGCGCGGAACAATATATTTAATATTAATGATTGTTTTGATTTCTTTTTTCATTATAAAAATAGCAAGAAGATACCTGGATGTAAGTTATCTGGAAATACTGTCCTTGAACAATACTGGAACATGCAATGGGTTAATTTCGCAATTGCGTATTATTTCTTATCTGTAATAACTAGTAAGGTCGATAAAGTAACAAGAAGTACAGGTGGTAAGAGTTTGATTTATTCCTAAATTCTACCAATTTTAGATTCAGTTTTCCTGTTTTGTCAATAATAATGTAAACATTATGAGAACAGAATGTAAGAAATTTGAAGAATGTGTTAAAGGAGTTCATATAAAGATAAATTCGCGTGTTTATTTTGACATGTTACGTTGATCTTAACATTTCTACTAATAGCACATTTGTACCTGATTTACAGTGCACCTTGTGAATGTAAAGATTACAAATGGTCCGTTTGTTGGATTAATATTATGGTCCATTTTACATAGGACATCAAACGCCTCACGTAACCCTGCATAGTAGATATACAATTTACTGACAATTTACCTTATTCTTATTCTAAACCATTAATTTATGACGACAGAAACTTTCGCAAATCTTATCATTTTTTTTTTTAAATTGACACCATTGTTTTAATGATTGACAACAAGCCATCAGGATGGGAGCTTTTTATGAGTACTTCAGTTGGATTAAATTTGTGATTCTATGTTTCTATGGAATCGTTAATGTTGGTTTATTGGTTTATCATATTATATGATTCTGGAATTTTAAGATGGACTCTTTAGGACAAAGTATATTTCGAAGTAAACTATCTAGACATAAAAATATAGTGTACGGTTCTGAAATAATTATTAGTTACGGAGAATTGAGTTTTGCTGACATCTCGTTTCAGAAAAAAAATATTTAATTCATTTTGAAATAATAGCAATGATGCAAAGAAAGAAAATCAAAGAATTGGAACTGTAGGACGTTGACTTGTATACTGCATTAGTCGTTAATATTTGTAAATAAGTTGAAGATATTTGGTTATAATGATGTAAATAATGCACTTATAATTAGTATGTAGAGAAAACAATGATTAGATTATATGAGAATACAAGATTTCAGATGTAAATTCCATCATTAGAATGGGAGGGGCCTGTTGACAAATTGCTATCAGCTGATTTTTCTATCCTTTACTCTTATATCCATGTCAATCTAAATGTTACTAGCGCGTGCTTTATTGTAATTGATAAGCCAGCGTAACGAGAAGATGGGATATAAATCTCGATGGTGAACAGCTGATGCCTTACAAGTGTGGGTCAATTTTGCATGTTCAGTGTTAACATCGGGCCAATATGGTTCTCAATAGCTCCGGCTATATCTTAACATTGGTTGTTTTGATTCCGTTTATAGTGTGTCATATTCCTCATGGTGACACAGATAACGGCACACTAATCAGTGACAATTTGACAATAGTTGGTGCTAAAATTCAAGATGAAAGATATGTGGACTATGTAAATAAAGGTGAAAATAATGGACTAGATGAGAGCTATGTCTCTCAAAATGAAACAATATATTTAAATGAAACAAATCATCGGAATCTTACGACACAAAATAACTGTTCTGCTTGTGCCTCTAGACAAAGGGATAAGAATATGAGAATAGAACAAATTAAAAGACAAATTTTGAGTAAACTTCATTTTACAACTATGCCCAATTTGACGTCGAGGGTTCTACCTAAAGTTCCAACTATATCATTATTAATGGATAAATTTACAGAAATGCAAGCTGATTCTCCGTACAGAGAGGGTGATTATGAGGAATATCATGATGATCATGATTATTATGGTCGAGTTGAAAAAGTCTACACATACGGAAAACTACGTAAGTTTTATACACTTTATGCTATTTTTTTTAAACAGGATCCAATCAAAAATGCCTCATGATTGAAGACAATCGAAAAAGATATAAAAGAAGGGTAACAATTTAATAATCGAATCAGAAAGGGTGTCACTGACAATCAGGGTATTGTTACTATTCAGAAACACTTTATGACAAGTTTTAGACTAAAATACTTGGACTATAATCACAGAATATGATGTGTTTTACATTATCTTATTCACATGCAACGTTTTAACACGAAATGCAACGTTTTTAAAACTGTTGTCGCTGAACGTGACGTATTTTAAATTGCTGTCGCTAAGCGTGGCGTTATTCAAATTGATGTCACTAAACGTGACGTTATTCAAATTGATGTCACTAAACGTGACGTTATTCAAATTGATGTCACTAAACGTGACGTTATTTAAATTGTTGTCTCTAAACGTGACGTTATTTAAGTTGATGTTGTTTAACATGACTAAATTTCTTCTTTCCTTTTTTTTGTCGCTAAATGTGCAAATGAAATTATTACGGATGCCGTTGCTACCTTGGCATACTTTTTAAAATGTAGGCCTACACAGTTTCAAAACATCGTTCCTAAGGTACTTTTGATATTGTGGCTTAATATGACGTCATCGGAATTATTATTGCTCATGGCTTTGTGAAATTATAACTAATGGTTTTTTTCAGTACATTAAGTCAATACAATAATCTTTGTATGACGTATTTTATTAGGTTGCTTTCTTGAAAGTATTTTTTCATTAATCTAAGAAAACGAATGCGTCAGCAAAAGATATTAGTCAATGATTGATCCTTTAACAGACTAAAAGCAGAAGGCAATCACTTATTGTCCGTGATAAAGACAATCTTGGAATACACCTACTGAATCTATCACCACTTCATCATCCAAATAACAGCAGGTTGAACGATTTCTCCACTGTCTTAATCGATAGAAATACTTTCTAAGTAATCCCCAAATGTTCTCAGAACTAATTCTGGATCAAAATTGTAAAGTATCTCAAAAGATTGGTCAATAATTCACTAAGCTGATAGAAACTGAAACTTACATCATTCGATAATGGCAAAAATATTATAAATTGCATGGCAACTAAATTAAATAAGCGAGATTTGAAATATTAATGATTATTTTTATTTTATTAAGATTTCATTATATCAAGAGTGATACAATTATTCCTCAAATGAAACATAATAAATGCTTCACATTCAGGATTATTTAGGCGACTCAAGACAATAACTCACATGTAAATAACATAAATATTGTTTAAGTATTTATTTGATTTGGATAAGGTACATCAAAGTGTGCTATGATGAAATCAAATTAACACCAAATTCTTGGAGAATATCTGTGTTTTTTAAGCTTACAAGCTAGAAGATCCAGAAACACAGACAATAACTCACTTCAAAATAGGCTTCATCCCTTATCGCCAAGCTTCGAAACAATGTTGAGTATTTATGATGTATTTGAGCGCGCATTGTTGCATAATTTCACTAATTTGTTATTGCGTTGTTGCAGATAAACAAGTTGTATGTTCTTACCCTAACGCTATTGTTTAATACAGAGCATTTTAAATTGCTTACGCTGGCATCTTTGCAAGAGTTATGCCTGAATAACAATGGCCAGTGTTCTAAAGGTAAACTCATATTATGGCTGATTCAGCATAATATAGCTGACGGTATACATAATATGATAAATGATAGAAGAGTGAAAAGTTGAGGCTTGATTTAAAATACTAGTTTAAGAGTACTTACCACGTAAAAGGCGTGGATTTGGCATCTATTTTTCGAAAAGGATTTGCGTCGCAACTTTCAGAGATGAAAAAAGGCAGATTTTGCGGCAGGCATTTTTGTTTTACTTCGACTGGAAGTCAGTTATAAATATGCATGGAGTTCTATGTATAACTATCCGCGATTGAATGTTAAAATGGCGACTCGTAAATTAAAAATACTATAGAAAAGACATATAGAAATAGTGAGTAGTTTGAAGTATTTTTGAAGGAATTATGCGATTTTGGTACATTTTCAGCCTTTTTGAAGACTATTTTACCTACATTGAAGACTAAAATTAATCCCCCAATATGGCGCATCTGTCCCTTTTAAATTTATTTTCAAAAAGACCACTCTTAATGCCAAAAGACCCTTAAGTATTACTTTGGTACATTGGTATATACTGCTTATATCCCGTAGTGACCAATTCGTCACTATTTCTTTTTTAGAAACAAACTTCAAATTAAAATTCTTTTTTAAAGGTCGATGCTTGTTCTATTTCTATTGATTGCTGTTTCTTTTGACATTTTTTTAAACAATTTCCAAATGTTATCTGAAAACTAATCAACTCGTTCCATACTCAGGAATTTATCGATTTGTTGGGTTTTTTTTTAAATAGATGTGAAATAAACTAATGGGTGCTTAATGTCAGTGACCTTTGAAAACATAACAAGTACATTTACCGTGATAGCCGATTAAACAAAGATTCAACTTTATTGTCAAGTTTTTTATTGGTATTGTTAGATGAAACGCATCGATAAGAAAATAAGTAGATTCAGAAATACTTCACTCAAATTACTAAGTAAGGACCTATATCAACTCATCAGAATATTTTGCCCATTTTTTTTAGTAATAAGAGTTTTAAAAAACACCTATATGATACTAAAAGCATCACTAAACATTTAGTTATAACTTTACTTATGATCTCGTAAACCTAGAACAAATATTTGAAAATGAATTGAAATAAATAGATTTTTACGTCAAACCTTTCTGCACCTAATCAAGCTAATGAAGACGGGCAATGCCATGCAGTGTGGTGCGAGGGAAAGTTTGAGAGAGCGGACAGTGGGCTACTCATTTTTTCGATTCCCAACTGTTGAGAAACCTAAAAGATGCACAGTGCACATATTCATATAACTCTATTGATTAACAAGTGGTTGCTTAACAAGATACGCCCACTTTCCTGATACATTTTCAGTATATCAAGGGCAGTCACCTATCTGTGTCAAATCATACCAAAAATCTAATTTGTGCAAGATATTGTTGTGACAAAGACACATTATTTAATAAAATTCTGACATAAACTGTCACTTCTATCGCTAACAAATTTTGATGCATTTTTACTTAGTCATGGACAATAACTCAAATTCCATTGATCGAAAAATTGTCAAATTTTATCTTGACTAAGATCTCCAAGATCTCATGAATATAAATGATCACAACAAATTTCATTCAAATCAGATAAAAACTGTTGTCTCTATTGTGTTCACAAGCCAATTGTGGACGGACGGACCGACGGATGGACACGGGTGACGACAATATACGACCACATTATAAGGTGGGCGTATAAAAAATAAACAACTTATAGATAGCGAATCGGGCAGATAAAGCTACATTTCTGAGTTCTATTTCATATCATACCATATCATTATCATAAACATCGTTGGCTTATATCACATTCTAATTCAATTATATATTCATAGGCAGTGTACATTATCATTTAATTGCTCTGTTTTGTTCTTTAGCTACAATGAAATCTTTCTGAAACATTTGTTTGTACCTGGGTTCGGGTACTCCACTTCATGCCAACATTGCCGTCTGCTTGTAAAAGTTAAAATAGGTTAAGGGTTGCCTCCCTTCAAATTCGTTCAATTTATTTCTTCTCTGAGCAAAACTTGTTCTAAAGGCAATTTGGCCTACATGGAAATTTTATTGAATTCAATTTGTCGTATACTTGAATCAATGAACCTTTGTGACTGAAGTCAGTGACGATATAATCTTAACTGCACCGTGCATTGGGTACAAAGCGCATTCCGTGATTTGTTCTACATATAGTCCACCATGTATGATAACAGCGTCCATTTTGTATGGTGAGTGATTAAGTTCATGATTATAAACCCCTTTGACTTGCGATTTTGTGAGGTTGGTTTACTCTGTGTGGTCAAGTACCATTATATCAGCATGCTCCGAATCATATCATACCATTATCATGCAGTACATCGTGGTAAATTATAACTTCAGCATCACATCAAGACATGACTGAAGTAAATATAAAATCAGCTAGTTTAATAAGGAAAGAGAATAATCTTAAGTTAATTATTATAAAGATCATAGTAAAATGGATTAATGTGGGCAATGGCATAAGGTACCGATTCTGATTTTCATTTTGATCTGAACCTCTGCGAAATGTTCGTTAACGCCTTGTTCTAGGCTACGTGATATCATGATAGCCATTACCAGGTTAAAAGTTACTGTGCTACGATTTGGCATTGTCCATATGTAAATTGTCAAGAAAATGTGATAAAGAGGTCTAAGAAATCGCATTTTCACACCAAACATATGGTATATGTATTGCACGTGGTAAAATATATTAAACATTTTGTAGTTATATGTTACAGTGATTAAGCTATCTGTTTATAGACTTGTGTAAAAAAAAAAAGAATAAACATCGCTCTAGATGTAATCCAATAATGTTATTATATAGATTATGAGGAGAAAACTGGCATATTTTATTGAAAATGAGATTGCCATAAGCAGACAATAATACAAATTTACAGGTCTAATATAAGAGAAATGGACATTTACCTATCATAACCACAAGTATATAACTTTAATTACCGTGTGTTGCCCATTTAACTTCACACAATTATAAGCATTTAGAACTGTAATTGACAATGGAATTATTATCTAAATAGGTTGTTTACTGTTAAAGTTTAAGTTTCTGAGAGAATTTTCTCTTTCATCAAAGAAGGTAAATGACAATGTAATTATGAACATATTTCTCATTTCAGCTTCTGAAGAACTCAAGGTACGAAATAAGCACGCCTGTTACTTTACCATGCCTGCTGAAGTCTATAATTTGAAGATTAGAATGGCACTTTTATGGTTCTATGTACGACCGACTATACCACAGAGTACTGTAATAGAGATACGAATATATCGAGTCTGTCCGGTTAGTCTGAAATGTGGCCGTAACAATCTTGGTAGAATATATTACAGAAAACATATACCAAGTTACAAGAAGGGCAAACATTGGTACAGGATCGACATCCGCAAACTCGTTATGAAATGGATACAGTATCCAGAGTATAACTACGGCCTGGTTCTTACAGCCTTCGACCACGATGGGCGAAATCTAATCGTAACACCAAGCGCTGATGAGAAAAAAGAAGGATACGTAAGTATACTACTAGAGCGTTTACATTTGTCTCTGTGTTCCTATGAACTGCAAATAAGTCTTGTAAGACGAACGCTGAGATATATTGTATATCATTGGAATATCAATTCTTATCCTAAAAATTGGGCGTGATTATTGAAAAAAATCAATAAATATTTGATATACAGCATACAGAAACGCTGAAATTCCTTTTTTAGTGGATCAAAGCTTAAAGTTAAAGCAGAATTTAAAAGTATGATACCATTGCATGCTCTATATTCCAGGAGCCTATTTTAGAATTTGAGACGGTTGAGATGAAGAAGAGGCGACCAAAACGAAGTATTTCATTAAATTGCGAAGAAAACTCAAACGAGAAACGATGCTGTCGTCACCCATTAGAAGTTGATTTTGTTGACTTCGGTTGGGATTGGGTTATTGCTCCCATTCGATACAAAGCTGGCTATTGTAACGGCGAATGCGATTCAACATATCAAGACGAATATGCGCATACGTATTTGCGTCAACGAGCTTCTTTGACAAGTGACGGACCGTGCTGTACGCCAACACAACATAAACCACTGTCTCTTTTGTACTTTGACCACGATCAAAACATTTTATTTACAGAATTACAAAATATGAAAGTAATGAAATGTGGCTGTGCATAAATTAGAAATTTGTCTCGGTGTATATTTCTATAGGCGATTATTTTTACTTCGTATCATTTCCCATAGGTGAAGGCTTCTTGACAACAAATCCATGATAGCCGATATTCCTGGAAAATTGAGTAGTCACCTTCGAGTTGTGTTGTGACCTAATCTGTGATATAAAAAAAAGAGAGACTGAACATGCCATGAGAGGAGACAATAACGATAGGGCAATATGAGGAATGAATTAATAGATAGAATGAATGAATAAAATGTGCTGTATTTATTTTGTTGTGTTGAAGAGTGAGGGATTCTATGTGCGTTTTAACAGTTTATGTACTTGTACGTTGTAAAGTGTCTATGAAACTCTCTACCTAACTATGAACCAGCTAAAATTTCATATCCGTATAGAATGGAGCTTTGTGTCTGACTTTTCTGCACTTATTGGGAAAGTGGAGACGACCAAAGCTAAAATGGGAATTTTTTTTTTCTCCTTCGAACTCCATCCACTTCCTTTATAGCTTTAAAGTTTAAGAAACAACAGTATTGAAAAGTAATGAATTTAAAAGAAAATTTAAACATAATTTGTCACGTTGAATATCGGCCTTCATTCTTGACAAATTGTTTCCCATACTCGGCCGATCTGTGAAAAGATGATAATAGACGGGTATTCGCAGATTTTCATGAGTGGTTGCAGAACTGGATTCAAAAATAACAGAAGTGGTGACGATATAAAAATCGTATTTAGATCGTCAGATTTGATAGCTGATCATTTCTCGTGGAAGATTGCATTGGGCTTCTGAAAGGTGTTATAATTACAGAAAGTAATATTTTTAACAGAACAATTTACGAAAAATATGGAACATGTGCTTTTCTTAGATTATTAACTTATATAAACATTTAGATGATCTGCTATCAGCAGTGAAAACATATTTTATCTTTGACAGATGATTCGTTTGAAAATAAATGATGACGTAAAAACAGATTATGTTATTTACTTTATAATGTGTATGTGCTTCAAGCGTTGATTGATATAGCACATTTGGCTAATATGTAATGCATTTATAGTTACACCTGTAAAAAATAATGTATATTATATGATAAACGTGATAATTAAGATAGTTTTAAAATCTCATTGAAATATAAATTCACAATTTAGTTCTCACTATTGTATTAAAATATGAGAAAGGTAACTAAATTAACTAAATAAACCTATTATTTAGATCTGTAAGTTCATTAGATGAAACTTAGTAAACCAACAAAGAATGTTATTTGTATTAAGGTACAAAAACTTTGTGGGAGCATATCGTAACTTGTAATTTTATTGACACAAAGTGTCCTTATAATGTTCAGTATTTACATTAATGAATAACGTAATGTATTTCATGCGAAAAAAATACAATTTGTATTCATGTCAAATACTTTGTTACAAATGACAATTCGCAATTTTATTGAAATGAATATTTCTATACAACTCCGAACTCATGTTATCCAGAAGATACACAGATTGGTCCAGTCGAGGCCTTGTATTGTTGAGAATTTATAGAAATACAGATAGACTAACAATTAACTAAAAGCGTTTTTCAATCAAAAAACAACAACTATTAAGAAAGCTTATTAAAGTATATGTTTTTTCTCGTCAAATCTTACCGATGAAAGTACCACAAGTGGTCTATAAAATATTTAACACAGAAACATATTCTTGGCACATTTTTGTTTTAAAGTATATATATAGCTGAATTTGTGTTTAATGGCCCTAACTAGTTCTGTAAATAGTTGTTTCAAGGGTGTATATTTGTAGAAACAGTGATGTCTTGTTGTTCATAACTCAAAAATGACATTAACGTCTAATAACTCATTAAGTGTGAACTTGAAACTTTAACAGTTTATAAATTCATTGAGTTAAAAACGCTGAGAAGGCTAGTTTTAAATTATATATTAGGCTCAGTTTTAAAATGAATACTGTCTTTTATTTGGTTAACAAGCAGGATAAAGTATTCAAATCTTTAATATAATGTGCAGTTACAACTTGTTTTGATTTTTGACATGCCTTTAACTTGAACTGGAAAACAGCGAATTTCTAAATTGACTGCAAAGACAAGAATTAAAAGAAATTCTTGAATGTGATCCTTGGATGCTATCTTGCTATCTTGAACAAAATAATATTAGAATATTTTTATCCTCTTGGATTGCTGAGTATGCATTCAAATAAAATTTCTATGTGATTTATTTAATATTCAATATTCTATAGTTTATTAACCTTACAAATTCTACATCCAACCACAATTCTCTCAATTTTGGCACTCTCGTGCAATACTGTAAATTCCAAAACCTTGTTTCGACATACATTCTTAAAGAAATGCCAAATCTGTCAAAAGTTTGACACTGGGTTAGTAATGTTACATGTTAACATATTTTCCTGGTACAATTTAGTATTTATCTGTGTTATAAATTACTATTACTTGGTTTATATTTCTTGGTAAAGACACAGAACGAGTTTCGCTGCACTTTACATTACAATCTTCTTAAAGGGGCATTCCGTTTTTCTGCTCACAATACACACCAAAAAACAAGAGAAAGGTGTCCCTTAACATATCTGAAGGTTTTGATTAAAAAAATCCAGCCGTTAATTTTTAACGCCAAAAGTGTATAAAAACATTACGTACGGATTTAAGCTAATATGTCTCCTACTATAATATCAAGCCGTAATAAAGCCAATCACCAAAACTAGTTAGCACTGCTTAATTAACAAATTCAGTTTGATCATGTAGATATCTAGGATATTGTAGAAATATTTTTTAGGTATAGGCTTATTTGATAATGAAAAATTTGCATACTGCCCATTTAACTAGTTTTGAAACGTTCCGCTGAATTCAACAAACATGTTATAATCATACCTTTTTTAACATTTTTACTTTACTAACAATCAGAACAACTTTATCCTTAGACTTCTTAGAAATGAGATCAGTTATCTAAGAAACAGAAGCAGTTTATGTATGAACTTTTCTTAGAAACAGAAGCAGTTTATGTATGAACTTTTCTTAGAAACAGAAGCAGTTTATGTATGAACTTTTCTGAGAAACAAAAGTAGTTTATGTATGAACTTTTCTAAGAAACAGAAGCAGTTTAGGTATGACTTTTTCTAAGAAACAGAAGCAGTTTAAAAATGAATTTTTTTCTTAGAAATAAAAGCAGTTTATGTATGTACTTTTCTTAGAAACAGAAGCAGTTTATGTATGAACTTTTCTAAGAAACAGAAGCAGTTTAGGTATGAGATTTTCTTAGAAATAAAAGCAGTTTATGTATGTACTTTTCTTAGAAACAGAAACAGTTTATGTATGTACTTTTCTTAGAAACAGAAGCAGTTTTGGTATGTACTTTCCTTAGAAACAAAAGCAGTTATGTCTGTACTTTCTTATAAGCAAAACGAGATAATCTGAATATTCTTATTAGCTTAACCAGTTCTGTATTTTTGCAAAAAAACTTGACGAGATTATCATACATTTTTTGCTTAATGTTTTACATAGTTGAGTTTAGGTCTATTTTTCTTAGTAATTTAACGAATAATGTACGTGTCTTAGAAACTTCTCGCGATCAGCTGTACTTTTCCTAAAAAAATTCATTACGCAGAGAATATCTATGGTTTTCTAGAAATGAAATAAACTAGTCAAGCTGGATTTTCTTATATGCAGAACAAATCAGTTTTTTTCGTTATGACCATAACCGTTGGGAAAAACATTCCGCAAGTGATGCTGACATGACTCCGCGCAACGATCACATTCTCGATTTTTTTTTCTTTTTTTTTTTTTTGTCTTGGGGTCAATTTAGAAATTTGTTGTTTCCCAGCTACTTAGTTTAGAACATCAAACATATTGTTTGTCTAAAGCATCATCTAAACAATATCATGTCTTTTGTCAAATATCAACCAGTCGGATTTTTATTTCTATTTCGATGGATCTCAGATAAGTGTACTTTTGTTAAAAGTATGAGATTATCAATTCTCATTTTTGTTCTCAAAACAGAGTACAACATACAAAGAACAACAAAGACTTTTTTCATGACTAACCAATGTACATCAAGACTTCAATCGTTGGGTCTATTGAACCATTTTTTTCTCACTTAAAATTTCTCAACTACGGAATAATATTTAAGTTTCAACATACTAATTTTAAATTACATTATAACAATTGTTTTTCTCAGTATTGTTTATGCACTTATTACTCACACCAAAACGATTTCAATGCAGTGTATTGTCAAGATGATTCATGCCATGTATATTTTATGTGTATGAAGTAGTTGTTCTGTTATTTTAAAAACGTGGAAATAAAGTTACTTAAAATGGCTTGTGGTTTCTTTCATTTAAAACAAAAGGAACGGTAGTTCCAAATTTTCCGCATCATGGTAGATAACGATGTTTCTTGTTCTCAATTTCAAACTATCTGAGCATGCATATTGGTCACAAATAAAAATATATCATCTGCAGTAATATGGTATTGGTGAGGTCTAGATGGACTATGAATTGAGAAATATTTTAATTGAGAATAAACCAATTCCATATATGGAATTCAAGTCTAAAATTGTTTGGTTGAATCAATGCCAGATTTACATTTCAAACACAATTCTGGAACTATTTCCACAAGCATTTCCATTTCACTATCGTTTCTTTCTGGGCAATAATTCATAAGACAAATACTGATGCTTAAATGAACATGGTTTGAGCTCACTTATGATCTTCATTACTGAAAAATGAACACCTTCAACTTCCCCCTTCCCTACTGCCCAAAAAAGAAAGATCTATCTGATCTTAAATAATATTTGGTTTTATTCTCCCTATAATCTTGACTCTTGATAAGGAAACAGGCACTTCCTTCAAGTTCTATTAAATTACACATCACTTCACATAGTCATGTAAATGTAAAAAAGAACTAAAAACTATTATCAACTGACTTGTGACATTTCTTTACTTATTCCACTTTCTTGAATTTCCGGTTGTTTTTCAGATTCTTCAAGTCTTTTTTTCACTATCCCTTGATATTTCTCCTGTGATAATAACTGTTTCATTTCTCTATCAAATTCATTTCTTTTGATCATTATCACAGCAATAAAACCTGCATCTTCAGGCTAAAATAAAAACCCCAAAAAATACTTTTAATTTACATATATCAGATAAAACATTTACAAATATATATATATAATTGTCCTGTTGTTTAAGATTCCAGCTAACCACCTTCTTCAGTAGTTTATAATCATATTTTCTAACTTTTACTACCACTTGGCGGCCATTACAGCCAAAACTGGAATGTGATGGTTCATTACTCTTTGACAGATATGATACAAATTTATATTGCACCTTGTCCCCAATAGACAATACCTCACTAAGAAGGCACTTTAACTTGACCAGTTCTTGGCACCCTGGTATTAGATTTCATGTTCTAAATTTAGTACAAGGTCTTTCTTCACTGGTTTAAATTTGAAATTTGGTTCTCTTGAGCAAAACTCTGTTTGATTTCTTTTAAAAGAAGGTGGTCATAAAATTTCAGAAATCAGAATCCTATAAATCAGGAATCTTTAGAAACACAATTGATTTGCAATAATTTGACAGTACCCGGCAATATTTGTATGATAATGTTCGTATAGGAAATGCATCCAAATGTCCAAATCTGTGTTCATAAAATTAACAGTATAAAATAGGGTTTCCCAAGTAAATGAGCTAAATTGCTGCTTTTCATGTCTGAAATTGCAAAAAGATCCATAGATGGTTGATGGGTCCCCCAGAAGGTGATGGGTATGGGGTGTTTTTAACGGCTAACAACATTTAATGTTGTTTACAGTAATTTACAGTAAAATACATTAGACATAAACAGCAACTCATTGTGGAACATACACGCATACTGAGTAAAGCAAACGTCGCAGCGCTGGGTCTGTAGCCCGATTAAGCGGCTGCAATGGAGTCCAGCTTTTTGTTATTTTCCTTTTTTTTTCACTGTTTGCTCATATTGTTTTTAAAGTCCGTCGTGTGCCAATTTGCAAGTGCTGATGCCCCACCAGTTGAAAAAAAGTTATTGAATTATTTCAAAACAAGATACAAAAGAAACCAATGAGTTTATGGAATGGTTCTAAAAAAAGTTGAATGAAGGTCAATAAGAAAAGTTATTATAGGTGAGGTCATAAAGATGTGTATGTATGTAATATGATACTGGTCAAACATAACAGAACTAAATTTTGAATCTTTAATTGGGCAGATTTATTGTGGTGTTAAGACCTGATGACATATTGTTTACAGTAGACATACCAACTAATTATAATCACTGGACCATGGGCAGTACAGAATACTCTTTTTTTTGGTAGTAAAAGTTAGGATAATATTAAAAGAGCGTTTAGCCACAACTAATCAAAGTCAAGCTACCTTGGTTTGTAGCAACTGGTAGCCTTTATTATCCTCTACAGTACTGTTTGTAGTTTGGTAATACAGTATAGTACTGAATGGATAATTACAGGATTCAATCGCTTTAATTTGACACTAACATATCATTCTACATGCTGGTTTTTGGCTCAACATCAGGCCTTTTAAATCAAACAAATTCCATAAATATTGTAAATAACTTCAGCTAACTTAAAATATAGGTGAGAAAGGTTATCTCAAATCATTGACTTCAAAATATCCGAACTTAGATATTTGATATATCTTCTTCATTAGGCAATACTTAACACTTGTATATGGTTTACAATAATTGTTCTAGAAAAAACGTCTTTTTAACCACTTAAATTCAATCTTTCGAGTAAAATGTTTTGAAAATACAAGTCCCAGATTGCTTACTTTTTTCATATCACTTATAAATCCTATTTTACTTCCTTATAAATTGGAAGTTTTACTTACAAAATCAACTGCATATGAATCATGTTCATTAGGTATCCAAGAAAACTACAAAGATTTAAGACTATCAGTAATTAAATATTATACATATCAAAAAGAATCACTAGATTCAAGACGAAAACTTCAAGTAGACAAATCTTCATTAAATGTTGGATACATTTTTATTAGATATGAAACAAATCTTCTTAGAAAGTTCACAAATTCTCCATATATACCAGACTAATCTTCATAAGACTTTGGACAAACTTTTCCTAGATATTGGAAAACTTTTATTTGATATTGGAAAACTATCAGTAGATATTGGAAAACTTTCATCAAATATTGGAAAACTTTCATTAGATATTGGACAAATTACATAAGATATCAAACTTTCATTTGATTTTGAACAAATTTTATCAGATATTGGACAAACTTTTATTAGATATTGGACAAACTTCCATTAGATATTGGACAAACTTTCATTAGATATTGGACAAACTTCCATTAGATATTGGACAAATTTTCATTAGATATTGGACAAATTTTCATTAGATATTGGACAAACTTTCATTCATAGATATTGGCAACATTTTCATTAGATATTGGACAAACTTTCATTCATAGATATTGGCCAAACTTCCATTAGATATTGGACAAACTTTCATTAATAGACATTGGCCAAATTTTCATTAGATATTGGACAAACTTTCATTAGATATTGAACAAACTTCCATTAGATCTTGGACAAACTTTCATTAGATATTGGACAAACTTCCATTAGATATTGGACAAACTTTTATTAGATATTGGACAAACTTCCATTAGATATTGGACAAACTTTCATTAGATATTGGACAAACTTCCATTAGATATTGGACAAATTTTCATTAGATATTGGACAAATTTTCATTAGATATTGGACAAACTTTCATTCATAGATATTGGCAACATTTTCATTAGATATTGGACAAACTTTCATTCATAGATATTGGCCAAACTTCCATTAGATATTGGACAAACTTTCATTAATAGACATTGGCCAAATTTTCATTAGATATTGGACAAACTTTCATTAGATATTGAACAAACTTCCATTAGATCTTGGACAAACTTTCATTGGATATTGGACAAACTTCCATTAGAAATTGGACAAACTTCCATTAGATATTGGACAAACTTCCATTAGATATTGGACAAATTTTCATTAGATATTGGACAAATTTTCATTAGATATTGGACAAACTTTCATTAATAGATATTGGCCAAATTTTCATTAGATATTGGACAAACTTTCATTAGATATTGAACAAACTTCCATTAGATCTTGGACAAACTTTCATTGGATATTGGACAAACTTTCAATGGATATTGGACAAACTTCCATTAGATATTGGACAAATTTTCATTAAATATTGGAAAAACTTACATAAGATATTAAACTTTCATATGATTTTGGACAAATTTTCATCAGATATTTGACCAAGTTTTATGAGATATTGGACAAACTTTCACTAGATATTTGACAAACTTCCATTAGATATTGGACAAATTTTCATTAGATATTGGACAAACTTCCATTAGATATTGGACAAACTTCCATTAGATATTGGACAAACTTCCATTAGATATTGGCAAAATTTTCATTAGATATTGAACAAACTCCAATTAGATATTGGAAAAATTTCATTAAATATTGAACAAACTTTCATTAGATATTGGACAAACTTACATTAGATATTGAACAAACTTCCATTAGATCTTGGACAAACTTTCATTGGATATTGGACAAACTTCCATTAGAAATTGGACAAACTTTCATTGGATATTAAACAAACTTCAATTAGATATTGGACAAACTTTCATTGGATATTAAACAAACTTCCATTAGATATTGGACAAATTTTCATTAGATATTGGACAAACTTCCATGAGATATTGGACAAACTTCCATTAGATATTGGACAAACTTTCATTTGATATTGGACAAACTTCCATTAGATATTGGACAAATTTTCATTAGATATTGGAAAAACTTCCATTAGATATTGGACAAACTTCCATTAGATATTGGACAAACCTACATTAGATATTTGACAAACTTCCATTAGATATTGGACAAACTTTCATTAGATATTGGACAAACTTTCATTAGATATTGGACAAACTTTCATTAGATATTGGACAAACTTCCATTAGATATTGGACAAAATTTCATTAGATATTGGACAAACTTTCATTAAATATTGAACAAACTTTCATTAGATATTGGACAAAATTTCATTAGATATTGGACAAACTTTCATTAGATATTGGACAAACTTCCATTAGATATTGGACAAAATTTCATTAGATATTGGACAAACTTACATTAGATATTGGACAAACTTATACATAAGATATTAAACTTTCATTTGATTTTGGATTTTGATTTTGGACAAATTTTCATCAGATATTGGACAAATTTTCATCAGATATTGGACAAACTTTCATTTGATATTGGACAAACTTTCATTAGATATTGGACAAAATTTCATTAGATATTGGACAAACTTTCATTAGATATTGGACAAAATTTCATTAGATATTGGACAAACTTACATTAGATATTGGACAAACTTACATTAGATATTAAACTTTCATTTGATATTGGACAAACTTTCATTTGACATTACACCACCTTTTATAAGATATTAGATAATCAAAAAAATATTAATGAGTCTAGGATACAGGCACAATAAAACTTTTACAAAATACAAAAGAATCAAAATTTCTAAACATCAATCTTAATTATGTTCTTTTAAAATCTTTTGAGAGATGATAAGTATTAAATTCCTTGCCACATTCCAGGGTAGCCTACATACTTGTTTTTTAACATTTTGGCATCTCTAATGATAACAATTGCCAATAAATAAAAATTTGTTCTTACAGAAATCTATTATGATGATATTTCCAGAGAAATCTAGTATATTAAAACATCATTTCATACAAGTTTTTAGTTCTCTTCTCAGCATCTATTGACTGACACTAATGAGGTAATAGTTATATGATTAAGTGGTAATTTTAAAGGTAACCAGATTGATAAAACTTAAAAAACAAGGAATATAGAATGTAACTTACTGCAAATTGGAATCCATTCAGATTGGTGTAAAAATGTGCAAGAAAAAAAATACTCATACTAACTGGTCTTAAGATGACCCAACACAATTCAGGGTGCACTGAAGTTGAAGTATCGACAACTGTTGAATGTGCTCAGTTTGTAGCACAAGTGACCTCAGCTTATTGTTTAATTTGTCATGTATGCTCCGTCACTGGCAGTGGAAAACTAGACTGAAAACTTTCAACATATGCTGGGACTGAACTGTGTACCTTCAAGTTAGAAAGTAGGTCTAACTCACCGAGCACTATGAAGGATTACAGCCCTTTAACAGAACATATAACAGTAAATGTTAATATTGGAGCCTATTTTAACATCTTGATCTCTAATCAAAATTCATCCTAAAATATCTTCAAATATTTTCTTTGAAAATCATAAAAGCCTGAGTGATTTACTGGTGTCGAGAAAAAGTCAAGTAATTCAAACATAATAAATCTCTCAATTTTTCCTGATATTTTACAGCAATACTAATCATAAACTACATCTGATTTACATACCAGTATTATATTGCACAAGATCTTCACATTTTTATTTTAATGCTCCCAAAATATTGAGAATGGTTTCTTCAATGCATCTGAAACTATTACATATTACTACAGTGTTTCACTTTAATAGGTAAACCATGTTTTAATGTAAGGTCATATGTCACATGTACAGATGGGTATTGATTACCAAATTGAGTTTACTGATCAATGGTAGACTATTGATCAATAATTGATTAATAATCACAATATTTATGTTTTATTTTTACGTCATAGAAGTATATTCTTGCTTTGATTGGTTATTATAGCTTATTATGGGTAAGTTATGTGCTGAAGGAAACCTATATGTAACCTTATAATGGCCGTTAATAAGGGGTACAATGGAGAAAATGTAACTTTGACATATGTCAAAATTACATTACAATAATGTATTGGGACATGGTAGATCAGATATTCTGAGATATATTTGTTAAAGTCAACTGACTTAAACAGCAATTAAAGTATCTAAAATACAAACAAAAGACAGCTGAGTTTTCTACTCTATTTCCCTATCTGTCAAAATATCTCATTTCTGAAAATAAATTTTAATTTATGTGAAAATGTTAATCTTGTCTTGTTTTCAATCTGATATGACTTGTGTCATTTTAAACATAAATCAAATGGTTATTTTAATACATAACTGTCCATTTTTTAATAACCTTTAAACTATTAACTTTATTTATCAAGAAGTAATCTAAAACCCACATCAGCTGTTTGACCTCTTTTCCATAATACCATGTCCCAATTTTACACTGCACAGCTGTATATCATTTCAAGGCCAATTCTTTTACAAGAACTAGTTACATGCAGTCATAGACCTAGCAAATGATTCCAAACTTAAAGGGACATATTCCTTTATTAATCCTATTATTCAAAACAACTTAATGCACTAAATTGGAGCATAAATACATAACATTTTAACATAACGCTAATGAACTGATACTAACAATACAGACGCCCTAGAGAACAGCCAATCAGCAATAAGTAGGTGACCCTATTTATAGTCTACTGCCTGAAAGTTCACGGAGCGGCAAAGTTGAAAGTGCAATTATTGAAAGACGAGTTCGAAATAACTCCAGAATTAATAATATTGTTGGAATTTGGAATGTGCACATTCAAGGTAATTTGGAAAATACCTTATCATTAAGTGAAGTGTTGATATCGGCTTTGTTAACGTTCGAAGGAACGACATCCACATCGTGTAGTGGCCACGCCAATCAAACTCAATGATAAATGCAGTCCGTTAAGGGGCAGAGCTTATATCTACATTCTGTTTACACAGATATAAACCGAATGCACGTGACCGCTGTTATAAAATCAAATTACATAAAACTGTGAGATTTTCAAGATCACTTTTGCATCATTCACTTCCATTATACAAGTACAAAATGGCACATCCTGGTTCAAGAACATAATGTATTTATGTAGTTTAACAGAGGTCAAATACCATTACCACTGAGGTCACCTTGTCATCATTATAATATCAAATTTTGAAGGGAAATTCAAATATTTCTCTAAATATAGAAATATGATAAAGACCATATATCCGAACATCAGAAATGATGAGTCTAATTCTGAAATATATATCTTGTTTTTTATTCGAAAGAAATCAAGTCAGATTTTCATTCTAAGATTTTTGCTGTGATTCTATGATGAAGGTCATAAAAGCATTTATTAGTTCACATGGGACAAAAACTGCACTGACATTTTCCTCATAGCACAGTGCATGGTATCGCCGGTTTCATTAGCTCCATCAGGAGCAACAAAGCAGGATCACATCAACACCTTTTTTGCATTGTTTTATAATTATTCAAAATACATTTGAAACCCTTGGTGCCAACATTAGTTTTTATCTGTCATGTATTAAAGTAATTAACATTATAAGATGTACCACTTATAAAATCAAGTCACACAATTTCATTGTATCAATAAAATATAAGGTTACTCCCATCTGATTTTTTAATGTCATATGTCAAGGGAGTAGGAATTTCCTTTTTTGTTTCTTTTTAAAAAAATGTCAAAACTTTAAGTATCAAAATAAATATAAACATTATTTTGGCCACGTGTAACAAATTAAAACAATCTTTGAAATAGATCTATACAGGGTGAACTTATCTTATTTCACAGTCACGATCCAGTAACAAAAGTCATTAATTAATTCATTAAAAAGACAGAAACAGAACAAATGTGCAACAAATTAAGGTTTCCCTGTTTGAGTTAAAATCTAACATAGTTGCTTTTATCAAATTAATAACAATATCGTGATTTTAAATAACTTAATAAATTTCCTTTGTTTAACTTTCAAAGAAAAATTCACAAAAAGTAAATTATTTCACACTGATATTTCCAAACTACTATCCTAGAGGTTAGCAAGGATGTACAAACTTGGAAGTCTGACTGAAAATATGACTGGTGCAAATTGATGCTATCAGTGTCCCTTATACACATAAAAAACTTAGAAAATCTCTTTGGAATTCCTTTATTGCCAGTTCTAGCCTGATAGAATAATTTTGTATGATTCAATTTTAAAATTACAAAAAAGTCTGTGTATGACTCATAATCATTCACTCAGCAATTATAATCTCTTTCAATATTTGTCACATTCTAAAGAGTAGATTTTGTGATATTATGACAATCTTTACCTTCTCTGCTATCAGGTTAGAATTGTCGAGGATATTTTCATTGATCTCTATTAACATTCCTCGAACACAGCTTACTATTAGATACTCAGTTTCATCTGTACACTTAATCTTACATAAAATACTGTTAGCCTTCACCCACTGTGCTCCCTGTAATATATACAGTTTAATTTGTGTAATTTGTAAAGCCTTTATTTGGTTATTAAACCATTATCTTTGCTTCAGTTTCCATATAAAATAAAAATTAAGTCTGCATAACAAGTAATGTCTAATACTTTACATGCATAATTTTTTAAACAATAGATATTGCATAAGATCTGTACTATATTCCTCAACTAATTTTAATTCAACAATATGTACTAGTAATGTTGAGCCACACTACTTTCTGAACATAGTGAATTCAGAATCAAATGACAACAATAATTCATTTGCATGTCATTTATCTTAAATGTCTTTGAGTCCATAGAAATATATGATTACGTATGAATACATTCAAATATAATTTAATGGAAATTGATATACCAAACTCTCTCAATAAGTACCAAGAACAGTGAAATATTAAGAAGTATATTATAGCAACAATATACTACAACTAGAGTTGTGTCCCATTTATTTAAACTTGGTATTAACAAGGAGATGCTATAATTTTAGATTCTAAGGCTTGCACGGCAATGTTTTTGCTAAAAAAAAATCTCTCCTAAACATCTGTACATAAAACCACTAGAATAATGAGGATTTCAAATTCCAATATCCTCACAATGTCAAGCTATCAGGAACACTCATAATAGCAAGTGAAGATGTTACACATGGTAATCTATATTTCTAGTACTGGTATGCTTTTCAAAATCAATTTGGGAATCCTGGGATATTCAATTTATGACAAGTATTTTAGTTGTGAAAATAGCCTTACCCTTTTGCCTTTACCTGACACTTTATTATCTAATCTGTTGATTCCATTAGCTGCCTCGAAATTTATACTAGATACTGTTTTCTTCTGTACAATAACGGGATGAGATTTGGCTAGAGTTACTAAACATATTCTGAAAAACACCAAATACAACACAATGTTACATATGTTATGATTGCAATTCACTGAATTTAAAAAAGTGAGGTTCTTAATATGTCATGTCATTTCATTCTGAAATGTGATATAGATTGCAGAGACTAAACCCATTTTACCAGGATTTCCAACTTTCCAATTCTCTCCAGCAAAAATACAAGTACTGCAAGTCAGTATCTGAATATCTACAGCTGAACATATATGAACAGTAGCATTTAAAGTGTTATTAACTCATTATAATATAATAAATAAGTGCCATACTTCCTTACTTATTGGAATGGCAGAGAACACATTGATCCTCACCAGTTTTGCCATTTAAATCTGAAATAAAAGTGATTTTTAAAAAAACAAAATGGTCTACATAAGTACATTTGCCAAAAAGCATTAGGCTATTAAATATTGAACATGACTAATAATTGTGCTGTGCCAGAAGGGTGGTTATAATCTACTAAAAGAGATAATCAATAGTAGCTTACACATGCTGTAGAACCTATGCCCATTTTCAACATTCCTTAAATGAGGCCTGAGGTGGGCCTAAGTATAGTCTGAATATAACATCTTTTTTTTTTTTTTGATTCAGTGTCTTTTAGTCACAACAGGTAATTTCTCTCTCATTCCGACAATCAAAGGGATTAACAGAGGTGGAAACAACTACGTGTCTGGGGCCCAGTAGGCCACTAATATGGTAGGAAATGGAAAAAAAAGGTGGGGATGGGAGATTATATTTCTACCTGTTCGATAAAAACGAGAAAAATATCTATCTACAAATGGCTTAGGCTTGTCGTTTGTAGTTGGCCAGTCATTTTCGTCGAATTCAAACCCTGGGATACCATTATCAAAGTCGTCAGCATCTTCCATGTTCAGATTTTCTTCTTAACCAGCTCACGGCGCCTGCAATTTGTTTACACCGCCATTTTCATTGTTACTAAAAATAATTTATATTCTTGATGTACGTTCTATCATTCGTCGAAAATCGTCGACGTATTTGGATAAATTTTTGAGCGTACAAAATTAAACTTTTCATTGCATAAAACGAAGAAATGCGTTGGTTCATCAGACTACCTTTTACAAACATTCAGTGTGCACAGGTTTATCCTTATCGGCTTCTGTTTAAACAAAAGGCCTTCATATAATTACAATATCATGCTATTTTTTGTTGTATCTAGGTTCTTCCGTTTTAGCTTTAAGAAATTGATAGCGTAAGGTTTGAACGAGATCGGTGTTTGGTGCATAATCTTACTCTCTTGGCCGTCAGCCTTCTGACGAGTATTACTGAAACAAAAATGGCTGATCCAAAATATGCCAACCTGCCAGGAATTGTAAGAATTTAGTTTCATTAAGACTATCATAAAAGCTTTAACATTATAGTTCTATCACATTATGAACATGGAATGTGTAGATATCCAAAATAATCTATGAATGCCTAGCTTCTGAAAGAGTCGTTTAATCAATAAAATACAATACAATGACTCATTCAGAGCCACATCATTCTTATTTTTCATAAAAATTAAATATGTATTGGCTCACTCTATCAAATTTAAGGAACCAGGGAGAGGTGTAAAGGTTATTTTAACCAATGCTATACATAGGGTAGGGTTAGGAAGGTAGGGTTAGGGATAGATAGGGATATTCCTCAAATTAGTAATGAATCAAATATAAATCAATCAAAATGAAAGCAGTGTGAACACAAAAAATTTCATTGTCCTATTATGCTACGGCCCTGTGTTCTATCACTCCTATGAAATTGATAATGTGCCTTAAGCCTGCACTACTGCCAAAAATGTGTTTGTTTTATTAAATATCTTGTAAACTATACAGTAGTTGCAGAAAAACTGTACATCACAGTATATAGTAAGATTAGTCTATGACAGGTAAATAAACTATTAACTAGTACACACTACACTAGATAAGCTTAGGACTATGAGTGTGAATATGATCTATACATATGAACATCATTGATTATGTGTGGTTGTTAATTCCAGGATGTAAATGCACCTGATGTGTTTGAGACTAGTGAGTTGCCTGAAGATGACCAGGCTGCTCAGTTAGAAAATGTAAGTTTGTGTTTTATCATTTTTAACACTTGTAATTTAAAACTAGAAGTAATTTTACCAGTGTATGATTTAGGGTGGTCTGCAATTTGCTTTTTATGGTTTTTGGTACTTAGTTTATTATTATTTATCAAGGGTACAGATCTATGCACCATTATATCCATAGATATCAAAAGCCAACCATCTACATCTTTTATATTTTTAGGAGGAGTTTAATAATGAAAATATAGAAAAAATTAATCTTGATTCAAAAACAGCTTTTAATGCTTTTAAAGGTAAAGGAGTGAAAGCTGATGGAGTTGGTAAGTTGGAATTGCTCTGAAAACTGTACACATTAGCTGATATTATTGTGTAACTGTAATGTCTAAGTTAGTCCAGTAGATATTTATTACACCAGCTAATTGTTGAAACTGATTCTCTATTTATGTTGATGTTGAAACTTTTATATCAAATATCTTATATTTGTAATGAAGAGTTGATGGTCATATAATGAATTTATTTACGTTTGTAGATTTCTCTGATAAGATAAGTAAATCGTCTAGAACAGGTTATGATGTTTCTCAAACTGAATATGAAATAGTAAGTCTGATTTTTTAAAGAGTATATCAAAGATGTATAAATAACCTATCATTCTATCATTATCATAACTAAGTGTTTGATGACGTCACCGATTAGTGACATGCAAATTATTGCTGACGTTTAGCACTTTCTGTAAAAGTTTACACAAAAGTTATTAATCGAAACGGTACCGTTTTAACGGATTGTGATGATTTTTCAATAGACTTGACCTATTTATTCATTTCAATTCAATTAAAGCTTACGCTTACAGTGTAAAAGTCAGCTATACTAATATTACTTCAAAACCGAAATGCAAAAAGAAAAAACATCATGTGTCCATGACAATACTATTTACATCATGTTATATCGTAAGACAGAGGGAATAAAGTCTGAGAATTTTTACTAGGGCAGTGCTATTTTTTTTAAGTCACATGACACTTTATTGGCCAAAAAAAAATTGAAAGTAAACTTATGACATATAGGAGGAATCTCGTGAAATGAATTGTCATCAAAGCTAAGACGCTTACAAAAGCATCACAAGATTACGTTCATGAGATAGATGTCCTATAATTATTTCCACAGTTGTTTTGCTTTGTGCAAAGGACACAGACTGGTGGCTGGGAAAAGAAGATCTATTCCCTGATACAATTAAAAGATTTAATAAACCTCTTTACAATCTCAATTTGTCTCAAAGTGTAGACATGAGAATAAGTTGTACTTGTTCAACTTCAGTAGGAATGCAGGCTGAAAATAGGTCACGAGTCAGTTGTCTGTTGATTACATAGCGTGAAACTCTGAGTAACAACAACATGTTTGGATCTGTTTTAATATTTTCTATTAAATAGATATATACAGTGGTGTAACCTATTTTCGTGGATATAAGGATTCAACACCGAATTTCGTCAAAGTTAAAAAAACGAAAAAAAATATTTATGTCTTAGATGTTTCCTCAGATATTCTACAAAATAACTAAAATTGGTTTATTTTGATTTTCTTTATGAATCCTTCACTTTGACCCATATTTCATGAGCAACCAACTCGGCAACGGCGGCAGAATGCGTCACCTATTTTCATGTACAATGTTTGATCTATGAATAAGTCTAGAAAAACACGGTGTATGGATACCGGGTGGTATAATTAACTTCTCTTAGTATTTATCTTTAATATCAATTCATTATAACTAGTGACAATTCCTTCAAAGAACCACGATTTTAAAAAAAAAAAGTGACTGACAAAACATGATACGTAGTGTAATTTATTGCTAAAAGTCATTGAAACAACATAAGAATATGGCCCACTTTGTGTTCCATAGAAATTTTCTGCTGACACTGAATCCGCTAGTTGATCACGCGACTTCATTCGTTGGACTACATTCAAGCAGATGACACTTGGAATTCCGATTACCGCTCGGGATTATAAGGAAATTCGGCCAATAAAAAATGGTGACGTTTGGTAATAAGTGAAATCCGCCATTTTGTATTTGTCAAAGTATACATTAATACATTTTACCTTGCTTGAAACTACTGGATTCATTCTACTAGCTGATATTATAGAGAAAACCCATGTTTATTAAAACAAACTAATGTGGAGGTCGCGCAAGGTCGCTCATGTAAATTATTAATCCTTTCCGAAATCCACGAATAATAGGTTTCCACGAAATTAGGTTACTTGACTGTATATATGTATAAGCTTTATTAAGTATTTTGATATGACTTTGTTTTTGATATAAACTGATATACCTGATTCACTTTTGTAACTAACTGTTAAAGATCTGACACACATCCTTAAAATAGAAATAGAGAAATTGTAAAGTTTTGTTTGAAAATAAATCTTAAGTGACATATGCAATCACAGAAGGACATACTTCATGCTACTGGTACTTCTAGGTTGGAGATGGTGTCAAGAAAGAAACACCACAGCAAAAATACCAGAGATTACAACATGAAATGAGAGAATTAGCTGAAGAAGTTTCCCAAATCAAGGTGTTTAGAGTTTTGTCTTAATGTGCTAATGTGACAGGAAAAGAAAAACTATGAATTTTGAGAATAAATTAATTATATAAAATTCATATAAACATTTAAAAATTTAGATATAAAAATCAAAAATTTATTTTGACACATCAGGGGATGAATCAAAACAGAGACAAACCCTGTCCATTTTTTTTTAGTAGATTATGTTAAAAATAAATAACACAACAATGAATGTAGCCTGTATAGTTAGTATTACTTGTTGACGAAGCTCAAATAAAATGGACTGCTCAGGACCTGGATGTACATAAGTATCATCTCTGGACAATAACAATTTTTATTACTATTCCTAGGAAACAGTGAAGGATGATAAATCTAGTGAGAAGTTGTCTCCAGTAGCCATGGGTAAACAATTAGAATATCTACAACATCAACTGACTGACCTACATCTAGAGAAGTTACTGGGTCCTGAAGCTTCTATTGATCTTTCTGATCCACAGGGAGCCTTGAGACAGTGAGTTTACTTTTTCTTGCAATTACTTTACAACCTTTGACACATCCACGTCACTCATTATAATGGCATATTGTCAGCACCTTATGGCTTTTTCCATCCATTCATTTTTACATTTTCTTGCAAATGCTCTAGAACTCACATTTTTAAACATACTTGTAATAGGAAGATTAGTTATTGCTTTTGCCCACAACAAATAAAATTATTTTTCAAGCTATAATTAAGTTATAAAGGGTATCAAGTGACATTCAGTATGCCTATTTGAAGAATTATTTCCCTTGATTTAAATTTTGAAAATACAGAAATTTCTGCAGAAGAGAATATGTATAAAAATCTTTCTTATGTAAAACAAAGATGATTTCTTGCAATATTTTTTGTTGCATAATTATGTCTATTATGTTCACATAAGCCCCAGCCCAATAGTAAAATACAGAAAAATGAGATGCAATGTCTCTTTCCTTTCACTTACAGGAGGCTGCTTAAACAATTAGAATCTTATAAAACTAGTGGTAGTAAGTCAGGAGAGAAAGGAGATAAAGCCTCAGCCGGTGCTAGTGGAGATCATGTTTCCTACAGTTTATATCATAGACCTGAACAAGCTCAGTTCAGTAAGAATGCCAAGGTATTTATATTGCTTTTACTGCCACCAAGTTCTGAAAATTAAGGTTTGAATCAAACAATTTGCAAAGTGATATCCCAATTTACATACAGATAACCATATTTTCGAACTTCTATATTTGGTAATTTAAAGTTCAGGTTCTTTTATCATCTATGCTGATTTATTATTGTAGATGGCAAATTTAGAAGAGAGATTAGAAAGACTTCAAGCAGTTATTGGTCAAAGCTCAGAGAAATTGGTAAATTTTAAGTGTTCTATTGTAGTTTTTCATATTTCAGTAAATCAATAAATTCCCAGTTCACATAAACACATTCATGAAGGCAGCTGATACAGAGGTTGTAGAGTGTTGATTTTTATGTGTTTTTTTTCCAGGTTATCCTTGACTTGTAATATTGGTTTAATTGATCAAGTCTTGAAAGAGAAGTGCCAGAAGGTTCTGTCTACGAACATTCCTCTTGATAGGAATTATCAAACATTTTTTGTTATTCTGGTAGATAAGGAATGTATTGTATTTCTTACTGTATAATTTCAGAATGTTCTAACTGGAGATACTGATAACAATAGTTTATTGGTAAGTACTAAACTTTCACTTTGTTTTTTTTAGCCTAATTTCTTATTTTACTTAAGAAATATTAAGAAATATATATCAATTTCTTATTTCTTATTTCTTACTTCATATATTTCTAAATATAAAGATGAAACCTAATGAAATAAATTGGTTTACGTAATAAGGCAATATGAATATTGGTTAACTACACTGTTAATGCTTTATCAATATCATATTAATAAGGTCTTGTGTCCACAACAAGAATTTTGGTATTTTGTCAGTGGGGTGGAGATTTCAAAATTGAAGACAAATATGAATGAGCTTAGTATAGTTTTAGTATTACATAAATTTCCTTTTTGGAAACACAATAGTATATTATGAAGCTGATTTGTGTCATTTTTCATGTCCTATGGTCATGTGTAAAACTGTTATCTAAATATCGATAACTCTAAGTTACATTTTATATTGTACAGGGAGCTGTGAGTGTATTGAACTCTAAACTAAGTCTTTTAGAACAAAGTAACTTGGAACAAGTAGAAGCCAGGCTACAGGGTGTTCTTCATAAACTATCACAAATAGCAGAGAAGAAAAATGTTCAGGAGGATAATGAAAAACAGGCTAAGGTTAGTAGCAGTGAGTGAACAATAGCAATGAGGATGGTGGTGGTGGCTCAGAGAGTTGGACACTTACATCCTAACCTACAGCATTGACCAAAATGATATCTTTGGATCTCTCAACCCATTTCATTTAACAATTCCTTTTACAATGAATACAATGAAAACAATAGTTTGAATTTATTTGCACTATAGGTCTCTGAGCTGTATGATTTGGTAAAGAAATGGGAAGCTTATGGTAATTCTTTACCCCAAGTTATTGAGAGATTAACTGCTTTGAAAGACTTACATGAACAAGGTAATTTCTTTTATATGGGTTAGTTTCTAGTTGAGACATGATGGCATGGTTTTGTATGAGGATTGTGTACTCTGCTATGTGTTAAAGGAATGAATACGTCTGTAAATTCAGAAAAGTTATCGCTATTGTTTTTTTTTACAGCTCTACAATTCAGTCAAGCATTGGCTTATCTCGATACTGCCCAACAAGAAATATCAACTAGTCTGAATTCACATGGTGATATGTTGAAATCGGTAAGTACATTTGAGATTGTTTCCTGTTAAAATCTCACTACTGGGGAATTATTGATGCAGAATGGTTTTCAAGGCAAGACCTTAATGACTTTCAACGACATTAACTCCCAATGATTTTAGCATTCTTTTGTTTTGGTTAGACAGTCATTTAATTGTTATGTATTTGTATTTGTGATTGAAGAATAATGTAATATTTAAATCTTGATTTCTGCTTTTTTGAGTTTTTGTAAATAGGGACCTTGACAAAGACAAAATTACAATGCTCTGTCATTCATTTCAATGGTTTGATATTTTTTATCATTAAACAGATAATATGGTTGAAAAAATTATAACACTTTGCAATTTAGGATTTTTCATAAAGAATCAAATCAAAGTCGTTCAACCTAAAAATCTGTAATTTGGTGAAAAGATATCTAATATCTGTATAAATGTAAAGTCTAAGGCCATACCAAAATAATATTCTGTTTGTCGGGAATTCCGTACCCCATTTTCCGTTATCGAAATTCTATTTTTACAATTAAAAAATAATATTCCGTATGTATCAAAAGAGCCCCTGTATGTAAAATTTTGAAAAAAGAATTTTTAATTTTAAAAAAAAAAATATATTGCCCGTATGTCCGTACCTCTAAATTGATCAGATAACATGATTGTTTAGTTTCATTTTTATTTCTCTAAGCCTAAAATTTGGTAGCAGGAGTAACAGTTTGTCAGTTTGTGGACATCGTGCAACATTTATAGTAGAACATGTTCCAGCAGTGAGTTCGTACAGTAGTTTAGGCCCTTCGCTGAAGCAAGAACGTTTTCTCGACGACCGAACGCATCGAAATTCCGGAAGTTGATAATTATCAGAAATAGGCATGGCCGATGCAGTGCTAGAATTAATATTTGTATTTGTCTTTTTTACCAAAATGATTTTAGTAATCAAAATTAGGTCACACCAGAAACTTATTTTGCCATACATGGCGTTTGATGTTAAGCCTGAAAACACTTTTAAAGATGTTTATGATCTGGCATCTGCAGGAATTCAATCGTGCATATCACAGATCCCAGAAAAAGTGTACAGTCGAGTAACCTAATTTCGTGGAAACCTATTATTCGTGGATTTTCGGAAATGATTAATAATTTACGTGAGCGACCTTGCGCGACCTCCGCATTAGTTTGTTTTAATAAACATGGGTTTTCTCTACAATATCAGCTAGTAGAATGAATCCAGTAGTTTCAAGCAAGGTAAAATGTATTAATGTATACTTTGACAAATACAAAATGGCGGATTTCACTTATTACCAAACGTCACCATTTTTTATCGACCGAATTTTATTATAATCCCGAGCGATAATCGGAATTCCACATGTCGTCTGCTAGAATATAATCCAACGAATGAAGTCGCGTGATCAACTAGCGGATTCAGTGTCAGCAGAAAATTTCTATGGAACACAAAGTGGACCATATTCTTATGTTGTTTCAGTGACTTTTAGCAATAAATTACACTACGTATCATATTTTGTCAGTCACTATTTTGTTTTTAAATCGTGGTTCTTTGAATGAATTGTCACTAGTTATAATGAATTGATATTAAAGATAAATACTAAGAGAAGTTAATTATACCACCCGGTATCCATACAACGTGTTTATCTAGACTTATTTATAGATCAAACATTGTACACGAAAATAGGTGACGCATTCTGCCGCCATTACCGAGTTGGTTGCTCATGAAATATGGGTCAAAGTGAAGGATTCATAAAGAAAATCAAAATAAACCAATTTCTATTATTTTGTAGAATATCTGAGGAAACATCTAAGACATAAAAATTTTTTTCATTTTTTTAACTTTGACGAAATTCAGTGTTGAATCCTTATATCCACGAAAATAGGTTACACCACTGTACATCAAGGACAATATGGAAAAATCAGGCGGTGTCTTAGTTACACTTTCGTTGAAAATTTCTCTGTGTGATGAACTGAAATCCAAGTTTGTGTACTTTTTAATTAACTTGCCTTCTCATTCTTCGTCTGAAGATTCTGTTTGTAATACTTCCAAAAGTGATAAAAATGTGTTCGATTTTATGATGGCATCAAGAAAGACATTAATGTTTCCTGAAAAACCTACACCACCAGACAAAACCTTAATTGGACCTCAAAAACTATTTTGTGATGTGCTAGATTGGTGCAAAACAATTGATGATGGCTGGTCAAAAGACCAGTTAATCTGTGCAAAAGAAATTTTGCAGAAGATTACAAATAAATACTATTAATTGTTATTTTATCTGAATACATTCAAAATCATCCATGCTGGAAAATTTTAATGGTACGAAGGGACTTTTTTTTTTTAAAAATTAAAAAATATTATATCGCACCAACCAAATCAATGATTACTAACTTTTAGACATTTTTTTTAAATTAAAAAAAAAATTTCGTTCGCTCGTACCTTTTTTTTTTCAAGAAATCCTGAAGAACAGAAAATTATTTTGGTATGGCCTAAGTATTATTATCAAAGATTTGATATTTTATGAAATATCCTGAAATGAAAAGTGTTGTCGTTTTTTCTGGCCTACCCGATATAACTATACAGACCTTGAAATATTTTCATAGCTACTTTTGTCAGTACTTATAAATTGATAGAGACCTTTATCAATGACTGTCTCATTTTATTACAACTTTCAGCTTCAAGAATCATTCAAGGAGAATACTACTATGATCAAGTCTAATACAGAGAGTCTGGAGGGTCGAATAAATGCTCTGAAAAAATCATGAAGAAATAGCTCTGAACATATTTATTACCAAGAGGTTATCTTTATCAAGACATCAATGATTTAAAAGCTGTGTAAGATACCAACACATTTGTCACTCTTCCAAAAATACAATGGTATTATCATACCTTGGTATATTAGTGGAGCATATTTTATCTTTCTTTCTGTAAAATTGGACTCAATATCAAAGATTTGTGAAATGTCTTGATAAACATAGCGTCTTTGTATCTATTTATCTTAATTGAACAATAAAATCTGGATATAAAGTGCAATGCTTTTGGTGTCAGGGTTTTGCTTTTGATGAAAATTTCTTATTTGGTTATGGAAGTGTATATGATATTACTTTTGTCTTTTATCTTCCAAGTTTCCTTCATTATTTCTCAATACATCAACAATTATCTTAACTGTGATGCCAATTATGTAATTGCTAATTAAATTCTGATAAATGCGGTAGCTTATAATAAGCTGCTTATTTAAATGCTTACAAATAGATTATTGAAATTCTGACTAGTAGTTAATTTTAATTCTGACTAGTAGTTAATTTTAATTCTGACTAGAAACTGACAAATAGATTATTTGAATTCTTACTAGTAGTTTTTTTTAAAGCTGACAAATAGATTATTTATGAATTACGTCAAATAGATTATTTATGAATTCTGACAAATGGATTATTTATAAATTCTGACAAATTATTTATAAATTCTGACAAATGGATTGTTTATAAAATCTGACAAATGGATTATTTATAAAATCTGACAAATGGATTATTATAAATTCTGAAAAATTGATTATTTATAAATTCTGACAAGTGGATTATTTGAATACTGAAAAATGAATTACATAACTTCTTTTTGGAAAGTAAATATTTGCTTTTGAAATCAGTTTTAAAGGACACATGACAAACAACAATCCTAATTGTTAATTTATCTGTTCATGAGTAGATTGGTATAGATTCTTTTTTGTTCTCTATTGTTAAATTAATCACTTGTGAAAAGTGCTTTATTGTTCTCTACTGCAATATTATAATACCATAATAAATTATAAGTATATAATAGTCTAAAATAGTGGAAGTACAGTGCTAAAATTATGTATTGCCGTACAACTCCAATTCTTAAATTGGTGTTATTATACAGTGCAATATCCTTTCAACAGCGTAAACCGATCGTCGAACTGAAGTCTCATCGGAAAAAGGGAGAAACGTTACCAGTCCAAATTTATATTGTTAGCCCGCTTTCCTATAAAGCTATTCTGATGAAGATTGTCTACCTGAAACACATATTGACAGTTTCGACTTTAGTTCTTTATGTAATCACGCCCGCGGTTTTTTAGCCTTAAGTAATAGTAATACGACTCCATATACTTTCACACTGCCCTTCAATAATTTTAAATAATTGACAGATAACGTGAATAACTTCAAAATAAAGTTTATGCTCTTATTAAATGAATATAAACCTTATCATTTGATAATTTTCAAGGTTGTGGCCATGAGAATTTAAGTCATGACCCGTGTGAATAGAATTTCACTTTCTCGTTCACTGAAAAATATGATAGCAAAATACTAAAAATAGATATATGGAGCAGTGATAGAATTTTGATTCTTGGATACTCAACCATTCTAATCTTACATATCACTTATCATAGAAGATAAAAAATATAATGTGAATCATTTCATACCATCCTCCAAACCCAAGTTTGATCTTTTCATTACCTTTCCACAGCATGACAGCAAGATTTGTTCACTAGATTATTGGTTAATAACACTCTGAAAATCATGTCGTTTTTCTCAAATCGCATGTCCGACAAAAAGCCATTACAAATTGCTTTAAAGAGCGAATCTATAGGGTTGTATATTTCACAATCATTTAAATTATAATTATAACACACACATGCACGTGTACTTGAAGAAGAAGCAGGATATGGTTCAATTGATAGATGGTTTAATCTCGAAGCTACGCCTTTTATTCTAAAGGAGGGTTCATTTGCAGAGACGGTATTTTCTGAAAATTCGCAGTCATTGCAGTTGCCATCGATTGCTATATTCGGATTTGGTCGTAATTGGTAGCGGTCCGTGAAATAATTCCATAAAATTCTAGGTGACGATTTCAATATGTCTCCTGAATAAAAAAAAACGCTATATTGATATATATATAAATGATATATAAATTATAAATGATATTCAACAAGAAAATAAGCAAAAGGACTTGTTGACCAATTGAAGGCAGAAAACTGCAACATTATGTTCAACTTGATGTCCAAGGAGGTGACTTATTCAAGGTTATCGGCCTTTCACACGCGGACCGAGATTAGAACCTGCGACCACACGCTCCAATCATACACGTAGACTGTGATAGATAAAACCTAGTATTGTACACCTTTTCATTAGTATTAACCGGATCTGCCTGCAAACCTAAATCTGTGTTTAATGTATGGAACTTCTCATCAAAGTGCTTAAATTCATTAGTTCACACACCAACGTCATGCATGGAGCATAATTGATTCCCATTGGCATAGTTTATTAATTCGAACCATAAAGTGCAGCATATCAGCAGTGACTGGTCAGTGAAAATTGATCAAACTGATAAAATGAAGACATCAATAAACTGATAACGATTTTTGACATAAAATATCAACAGTATAGGACGTGATTGGAAGAATTTCATTTCGTGAAAGTCACAGAATGGGGAAGAGGAATTACACCGGTGAGTGTTGATTTAAAGTTGTTTTTATATTTGTTAATATCTAATAGAGAGCTTTGATGTGTATTATTTGAAACAGTTATTTTAGTATTTAATTTTTTTTAAATGTATTTATAATAAGGCTTAGCTAATTAAACACTACCAAAGTGGAGGAGTAATTCCTACTAAAAATTGTCACTACTACACCTTTAATTGATTAAAACCAAATTTTATAATCCTATGAATAAAAATGACAAAATCAAAATTATGCACAAAAATAATGAAAGCATTCTATAATCGAATATCATAATGTGCATATTATAATCAGAAAAGAAACTGGCCTTTAAATTTTACACAATTTATCTTTACATATATAATTCTTTTAAAATGATTCATTAGTGATTTCATTATTGTAATCATAGAATAACAATTTATTTAAAAAATTAGAAAAATGTTAGAATTGATTTATGTTTAGTCACAATTTACACAAAATTTTAGGTCAGACACCTGCATTTAGTATGCAATTAAAATTTGATACAAAGTTAATGCACCTCTGACATGATGCCGTAATATAACCAGTATTACAAGAAACGCAAATCTTATGATAATTTTAAATATTTCCTTTCATCTTTAAATAATTCTAATTTTTTTTCTTGTCGAGGAAAATATGAATTTTACGTCTTATATACTTTTCAGTCGAATCAAAGGCAATTGTTAAGTAGAATTTCTTCAATAGGCCATTTGGGAAAGTAATGAATAGTTCTTTTTTTTATTTTAGTATCAGATGAGAAGAGTGGGGCCGATAAGAAGAACTCTGTATCTCTTCCAGTACATTCAGATTACCATGAAACATTTTTCCAGAAACTCTTTTCATGTCGCTGGATCATCGGTTATTTGTGTTGTGGAGCTAGGTTTAGTCAGTCGGCCATTAGACAACTTATTGGTATGGCTACAGTCTGTATGACATTAGAACACGATGAACTATTGCCTGAAACAGCCGCAGTTATCAAAGAATTCCACCTGAACATCACACCTAATGCTTCTAGATTTATTGATGAAATAGTGAGTATGGTATAAGTCTTTCCGAAAAACATAATATTGGAAAGATATAGTGAAATAAGAATGTAGGTAATTAGGTCACAGGTAAATCGGTCACCGGAAATTTGGTCACAGTAAAAAGGTCACACGGTAATTTGGTCACAGTAATAAGGTCACACGGTAATTTGGTCACAGTAAAAAAAGTCACACGGTAATTTGGTCACAGTAAAAAAGTCACACGGTAATTTGGTCACAGTAATACGGTCACATGGTAATTTGGTCACAGTAATAAGGTCACACGGTAATTCGGTCACAGTAAAAGGGTCACACGGTAATTTGGTCACAGTAAAAAGGTCACATGGTATTTTGGTCACAGTAAAAAGGTCACATGGTAATTTGGTCACAGTAATAAGGTCACACGGTAATTTGGTCACAGTAAAAAAGTCACACGGTAATTTGGTCACAGTAATACTGTCACATAGTAATTTGGTCACAGTAAAATTATCCATTTTCAGTGGTGTTGGTCATCTTATTCATATCAACCGCTTGTAGTTGATAACTAGATTCAATAAATGGCGGAGGACGGGCAATGTCACAACTTAAGTAGGTTCGTGACTTTGCCCCCGACTTAGGACAAAATTTATTGAAATTGACTTTTAACTCAATTTTTTTTTTCTGATTCGATTGAAACCTAGTTTACCTGTGTATATTGGCTACATGGAAGTAGTGATGCTATTTAAAAGGCGAAAGCCGCGATGAGATTTGCTGCTGGTGGGCGTATAGCCTTGTGGGCGTCCGCTCGTATATATTGGCACTGTTGCTCGTAAATATCCACGCCTGTCCCAATGACCTGAGCGTTTTTCAATTTTCGGGTAGGATGAGATGGGCGCCCTTCAGATATGTGAGATACGTGCAAAGCCCTACCCCCACCCGAAAATCGAAAAGAATCTGCTTTGAAACGCTCACGTTATTAGTACAGGCACGGAAATGTATGAGTAGTGGAGATTATATATAAAATACATATTAAATCAACTTCATTGATGAAGTCAATACTGGATGATTTCACAGGCTGCATTCAGTGAAAATTCATGCATTCATTCTGTAATTTGGAATGGCGAGAGTCGGCAAAAGTTAAACGGTGGTATGGCTTGCAAGCTTAAAAGGCAGACCTGTGGCGGGTTGTATCAGCAATACCTATATAGCTGCAGATTGACAGGTATACCAAATACTGTTCGACCGTTCAGGGCCCCACAAGGTCCATCCATCTCTGGCAGAGATCAAGCTGAACACTACGTTATGTATTATGAAATAAATATTACTACACCAGTTACCAGTAATTTCATTTTACTAGTTCATTCTGTAATTTGGAATGGCGAGAGTCGGCAAAAGTTAAACGGTGGTATGGCTTGCAAGCTTAAAAGGCAGACCGGTGGCGGGTTGTATCAGCAATACCTATATAGCTGCAGATTGACAGGTATACCAAATACTGTTCGACCGTTCAGGGCCCCACAAGGTCCATCCATCTCTGGCAGAGATCAAGCTGAACACTATATTATGTATTATGAAATAAATATCACTACACCAGTTACCAGTAATTTCATTTTACTAGTTTTGCCTTGACCGTGTGACATTTTTACTGTGACCAAATTACCGTGTGACCGTATTACTGTGACCAAATTACCATGTGACCTTATTACTGTGACCAAATTACCGTGTGACCTTTTTACTGTGACCAAAGTTCCGGTGACCGAATTTCCTGTGACCTAATTACCGCGCCCCAGTGAGATAAATAGTTTTGAAACATTTATTGAATGTTAAAACCAAACGAATTTCATAAAACGAGGTATAGCGTGTTTGTAATTATAAAACCCTCAATTTAGATTTTGAGTTGTAAAATGACTGAATGAAAATTCTCATAGAGTCACCATATTTCAGGAAGAAGATTTCAAGTGGTCGTCAGAACTAGAAGGAACAATTTTAGCCGCGTATAATTTTGGTTTCATAGCATCACCAATACTTGGTGGCTACATAGCTGGACATTTCGGAGGGAAACGTGTAATAGCATTATCATTACTTATTGGTTCATTAACAACCATTTTAACTCCAGTGGCAGCACGTGCTAATGATGCCTTATTAATATTCATGAGAGCATTGGCTGGTCTTGTCATGGTAAGTAACCAATGAAATGTCTTTAGAAATATGCATATGCATTTTAATCATACAATTGCTCTTATATTTCTAACAAATGTAGTTAGGTTATTATAGTATCTCAATGTCAGATAACGTTGACCATAAGTAATGTGTAACTGCAAGATATGTTCTGTTACTTTATCAAAGAAGGTTCATAAATGAATTCAAATATATAAACTAGAGGCACTCGTGGCACAGAG